GCACAATGTGTCACAACACATCTTTGTATATTTCTCAGAGGCTTTTTTATAACTGAGGCAGTGTAAAAATTGTAGAAGTAAGAAAATAAATATTTAAGGTTGGAAAACTTCTATATGACACCCTGGATTGTTGTTGGTAGTCAACTGCGTTCCCATGTCACATTAAACTAATGATGTAGTTAGTTTGCTTTTGGATTAGCAAATTGGTTGAACCAAATCAAGGCAGGTTGGTAAATCATAGTTGATAGATAGGCTTATTTATGACCTTAATCATTTGTGGCTAATTCAATAAATAATACCAGAATGTATTAGGATGTATAATTCCAACCACTATAGTACTAGTGAGAAGGACTATATTCTAGGAGAAATTAATGTGGAATTTAACTGTTCATGTTACCAGTGAAATACATTTTATATAGTTCAAAGCATCAAATCATTAATGTTAACCTGCAAACACAAGTCACAAAAACTGATTTTCCTGTAAACTATCTGTCTTTCAAAAAATAATAATAAATAAATTGGAAAAAAATGGCTAGACAAATATATCTATCTCTATATATATTTTCAAATATTAAATTATCAAAGGAGTCTAGTGGGTTTTTTTTTTTTAAAGATCTTTGGGTGCTTTAAAAGGGGCTTGTTTATTTGGACTGGAAGTATATTCCTCTGCAATTTACTAATTCCTCTTTTTAAAAGAGTAGAAAATCCACACCCTTAGCATTTCTCCTCTGTAGAAGCCTTCCCTCAGGGCCTTTCTGAGCTCTTGTCCTCCCTCAGACAAATCTCTCAAGCAGATTCCCACAGATATGTTGCAGAACCTGGAGTTTCCCACCTGGCAACCCACTTGCCCTCCCTTGCCCTTTTCTTTGTCCTCTCCTTGCTCAGATAGACCTCTCTTCCTTTGAACCTGTTAAGAAAAATGTAGGGAATGACTTTATTATTAAAATCTAGCCTGATTCCTGACACAAAGCTTTCTTTATGTTTCCCTGAGGCTTCTTATTTGTAATGTCTTTCCTCCAGGGAGAGCTTGACAGGCAGGTAACCTGGCACCTCCAAGGACAAGCAAGCTGAGCTCCTGTTGTATTTCACAATAGAAGGTGGCCACAGCTAATCTCACCTTCTTCCAGTGTTCTCTGCTGAAAACACAAAGGAGAGAAAGGTGGTTTCCTGCTTTGCGTCTGCAATAGGCTCTCAGAGACATTTGTCCAAATTTCATGCTTTAACATTTTCAGAAATTTCCCTGGTATTCCCAATCTTATCTGAAGATAGAAGGTGTAGAAATCACACCTTCTACTCAGTGGTGAAATCCGAACTGGTTTGCTATCGGTTCGCTGGCTGCGCATGCGCACCACGTGCCAAACGCATGCCGCATGCACATGCGCACCAAAAGGAGGCTTGGAAAGATAAGTAGAAGTGAGGAGGGAATCAGCTGTTGTGCGCGATTTAGCAGGATTTCCTACTTTCTAGCAAAGCTAAACCCCGCTGCACAGCTGATCGTCGGAAATACTGATTCGGAAATACCGCCTGCACGTTGATCATACCACATGCACGATTGTCGGAAATACCGGTTCAGAAATACTGCATGCACACAAAAAGGAGGCTTGGGAAGGTAAGTAGAAGCGAGGGGGGGATTAGCTGTGGTGCACGATTTAGCAGGATTTAGCAAAGCTAAACCCCACTGCACAGCTGATTGTCGGATATACCGGTTTGGAAATACTGCATGCACATCAATCGTACCACATACACAATCGTCGGAAATACCAGTTCGGAAATACCACATGCACACAAAAAGGAGGCTTGGGAAGGTAAGTAGAAGCGAGGGGGGATCAGCTGTGGTGTGTGATTTAGCAGGATTTCCTACTTTCTAGCAAAGCTAAACCATGCTGCACAGCTGATCGTCGGAAATACCGGTTCCATTGGTAGCTTTTTTTAACTACTGGTTCACCCAAATTGGTAGCTTTTATTACTACCGGTTTGCCTGAACTGGAGCGAACTGGTAGCATTTCACCCCTACTTCTACTCCCAACATAACAATATTTGTATCTGTACAGATAGGACGTGAAATCCTATATGTGTTACAGAAGATGTTTCTCTTTTGTAGATTTGTCTCTGTGTGTGTGAAAGGTACTCCACAACTTATGATTGTGAGTGAGCCGAGAATTACAGTTGCAAGTCATGTTGGTCATTATGTGGGTCAACATGTGACTGTGCCCAATTTTACAATCCTTTTTGTAGCAGTTAAACAAATGCCGTAGTCATTAAATGAATGTTGTAATCATTAAACAAACAGCCCACTCCTTAAATGAACCCATCATACCAAAGTAAACACCAATATCCGGCAAAAAAGTCACAAATTACAGTCACATGACTGTGGGGTACTGCAAACAGTCATAAATGTGGGCAGGGTGCCAAGGGCCCATGTGATCATGTGACTGCAGGATTGGGGGTGTTGGGACTTTGAAATTGGGTCAGAGTTTCGAAGTTTCTTGGGAAATAGCTCTTGGGAGGTCCATTGTCATTTCAAATGGTTGCTGAGCATCAACATTCATCCAAACTTCTAAGTCATAATTAAAATATTTAATCTTTAAAACTGGATAAGATAATACAATTACACATTTTATTACACTGCAAAATGAGTCAATTTACTTTCAAAGTGCCACAATTTTCACTCCCCTTGTCCTAAGAAACATTCGAGGCTGACTGCCATTTGTTCTCAGCCTACAAACGTAAGTCCCACAGAATTCCTTCAAGGTCACCGTTGGTGGGCAAAATCCAGTCTTGGCTCCACCTTCAATTTTTCTTTATTGGCAGATTTGTAAAATATCGCTGCCGTTACTACAGGTGGATGGGACTCAACAATGGGAAGTCCCAGTCAACAATGGCTATTCAGCCCAAACTTTCTCAAGATGCTGACAGAGACTGGAAGAGATCACGAAAAGCAGAAATTCTGACTCCCCGATGTACCACCTCATAAAATCTGCTCTTTTTGCTGTACTGCAGGTGATTGGGAAGTAAATAGACTCAATGGTCCAACAGTGACAATGGCATCTGATCATAGAAGCATCCCACTAGTGCCAAAGTTTTTTACAGAAGTGAGCAGAGATTTAATTACCAGGGCCGTGGTAACTGAGATGATTATCTCTTTAGTTTTTTGGCATTTTAGAAATGGCGCTGTTGCTTTTAATTGTATGAATGCTTCCTGTGGTTTTATTACATTGATTTATTTAACACTGCATTTTTAAACACAATTTTCTTCTTATTGGAAAACTGAAGCTGCTGATCAGCTTTAAAATTTAATAAATTAATGTATACTTCACTCAGATAATTGTTTTTAGGTGGCTTATATGACAGCCAACCAGCACTCTTCTGTATTATGGTGTGGCCAGCATTAAGCATGAAAGCCAACTGGGTGACTTTGGGCCAGTTACTCACTCTCTCAATCCAACTCACATCATAGGGAGCTGGTTGTAGAGAAAATAGGAGGAGAAAGAAGCATTAGGTATGTTCTCTGCCTTGAATCATTTCTTAAAAACAATAAACGTGGGATAAAAAAAATAAAATTAAAAGAAAATAAAGTACTGAAACAGATGGGAACTGATTTACAGGGATGTCTGACAGAGAACATAGGCAGAGCTTTAATTGCACTTTCTTCGTTGCAATATTGTTTTTTTTAAAGCATATCTTGTGGACATCCCTGTTGACTTACTTTCAAATGTTTATGTATTTATATGTATGTATTTATGCAATACAAAATAAGGCCTTCTCTTTGACAATAGGTGTTTCTCATTTACACTACTTGTGCTTTATAAAGTAACATCAGTTAGCCAGGCTGTCTTGATTTTATGGCTGGTTTTAAAATTTGATATGGATTTTAATTGAAAAGTTTTAAATTACGGGCCAAATTTATTTAATTATTTTAAATCTATTTTTAACTTTTGTGTATAAATGTTTTTTATCTTGGCTGTTCACCGCCCTGAGTCCGAAAGGAGAAGGGCGGTATAGAAATTTGAAAAATAAATAAATAAATAAATAAATAAACATAAAGAAAATACTTTTCTGTACTGAAAAATATAATTCAGATTGGAGGGGAAACAATAAGTGGGATGGAAGGAGGAAAGAAACAGAGAAACAGCAATGTTGAGGATATTAATTCAGGTAGATAAATCTGGGTGTTCATATCACTTAATGAAGACTAAAGTGTTAAGTCCAAGTAAGTGTATAAAAATAATATTGAATATCCTGAGTATTGTTTCAAAGTATTAGAGCAGAAAGATCAGTATAACATAAGCTCAGGAAAGAAACAGGAAACTAAGATTAGCTTTCCTTTCATGAGACTGTTGCCATAAATGTGTCCAGGTTGTCCTCATTTAGCAATTACAATTGGAACTGATCACTTGGTTGTTAAGTGAAGCAGGCATTAAGTGAAACAGCAATTGTCCTTGTGATCTTTCTTCATCTTTCCTTTGCAGATCTGTGAGAGTTGTAAATGTGACGATTGATCATAAAGTTACTTTTTCATCATTGTTACAACTGCAAAGTATCACTAAATGAGGCAGTCACTAAATGAGGACTACCTGTACTTATCTTTGAATTCAGAAACATCAGTTTTGTTCATATGACAGTTCCTATTAAATATATATAGCCAAATCATGTTTTCATTAACCATGTTTTATGGAACAACACCCAAGTAGTTAGGATCTCACAATGTGCTATGCCATAATTCACAGTCAGCAAGTTGTAGTAGCTAGCTTCACCTGATGAATCTAATCAAAGAAAATCAGAGTATGGCTTAGTGCTACGCTATGTATAAACTAAACCAATCCAAGCTGGGCATGAAGTAAGCCACTAGATCATGTTCATGACCATTGGTAGAATATCAGCTGCAAACTTCTGGATTTGTGTGCCGTTCCCATGTGCAGCTGTTCCTTTGCGTAGGTCATTTAGCCCTAAACAAGTTGTTAACCTGTTTGTAAAACAAAAGTTTGTTTGTTTGTTTACAGAAAAGATGGCACCCCATACGGGATCTGTAGGACCAGTTGGTTTACCCCTGGAAACTGAAGAACAACTGATTAAGCGAATGATGGCCAGAAGGCAAAAGATAATTGCAGAAATACTTCAAACAGAAAGAGATTATCTTAGTGATCTGGAACTCTGCATCAGAATAGTGGTTGAGCCCTTGAAAAAAAGGCAGGTAAGAAAGTTTTGGCCCTTCCTTCCTTCCTTCCTTCCTTCCTTCCTTCCTTCCTTCCTTCCTTTCCTTCTTTCCCTCCCTCCCTCCCTTCCTTTTTGCTCTTTTTCTACCTGAGAAAAGCAAAGAAGCTAGATGCAATTGCTAGTTTACTTTCAGGTCCAATTCAAGGTGTTGGTCATCACCTTTAAAGTAAGGTGACCAGACGTCCCGCTTTTGGCGGAACAGTCCCGCTTTTGAGCAATTTGTCTCGCGTCCCGCAGCGTTTTTAAAAAGTCCCGACTTTTCATTCTGCCTCCTGAGTCCCGGCTGCTCCTGAGTCCCAGCTGATGGCTAGAGGGAAAAAACCTGTTTAAACTCTTGCCGCGGGGCTTCAAAGGTCCCCCTCTCAGCTGATTTGCGCAAGGCTCTGCTCTTGCTAAATTGCTCAGCAGTTTTTTTTTCTCTTTGTGCAAACCAAGCTCAAAACGAAACTGAAAGTAAAACAGGCTGTTGGCTTTGCTGTTTGCTTGCAACCTTGGAAAATTAGGCAGCAGATTTATTTTCCTTTTCCTCACCAAAAAAGGTAGGTGCAAACAATGGGAAATTATTTAGGGCAAAAGAGGAGAGTTCAAGATTTTAAAACACAAAAGAAAAAAAAGCTCTTTTTAACTAGGGAATTGTAATAATTGAGATACTGTTAATTGTATACTGTGTTGAAAGCAGAAATGGTTAAGTTGTGGTTTGGAGGAATATATGGGGGAAATTATTTGGTTTATTATTATTGGTAAGTATAATTAATTGATTTGTAAGAAATTGGATTGCATGGAAATAACTGGAATATTCCTGTTCATATTGATTAATATACAAAAAAGATAGTTATATAACTAATTGATTTATATTAAAATGTTGAATTTGTATTAAACAACTGTATTACATAATTACATAATTAACCAATGTGAGGATGGATATAAAAATAGATGACAATGGGAAGGGGTATAATATAGAATAGAAGGGAAAAATTGAATTTGATTAAGATTAGAGATGAGGATGAAGGGTAATATTGTTTTTTTAAAAAAATAGATGAGGAATAAATATGGCAAAAAGGAAATATAGAAATTGTAAATTTAATTGAAATGACTAAACGCTGTTTAAATTTGTGAACCAGCCAAATATTCTGTTCAAAGAAAATACATTGTATGTTTGTATGTGTGTTTCTAATTATTGCTATTTATTCATATTTGTTCTCTTTTATTCTTTAAAGTTTAACAATTCATTCTTTATCTTAATATCTTTATATTTGTTTGGGGTTGGCTTTCTTCCCTTTCATCTTTTTTATTGTACAGCAATCTTTCTCCTCAAACCTCCCACCTCTCTTTTCTTTCCTTCTTACTTTCTCTTCCCCCCACCCTCTTCTTCTCCTCCCTATTTCCTCTTCCTTTCTCCTTCTCCTCCTCTCTTCCTCCCTCTCTTACCGTCACTCCTCCTCTAATTTCCCTTCCCTTCCTTCATCCCTCTCTATTGCTGTATCCTTTAATGCATATGGACTACTCAGAGGGCTGAAAAAGTTATTTTTGACTGGTCCTCACACTTTTGACCAGTCCTCGAACTTACGACTGTCCTCACATTTTACATTTTTCCCCTATCTTGTCATCATGGTGAAGAGAAGCAGTTGGGAAGTGAGTGACATGGTTGTTAAGAATGCTGCATGGGCATAAGTGTGAGGATGGTCATAAGTGTGAGGACCAGTCAAAAGTGCGAGGACCTGTCAGAAATGACTTTTTCAGCCCTCTGGTTAGTCCTTTTGTGCATATGGACTACTCAGAGGGCTGAAATGACTTTCCAGCCCTCTGAGTAGTCCCTATACACATAGCCATGGCCACCCGGTCACATGACCAGCTAGCCACGCCCACCCAGTCACATGGCCTCCAAGCCACAGCCACACAATAAGCCACGCCCACAATGGTGTCCCTCTTACCAATGTTAAAATCTGTTCACCTTACCCTATACACATAGCCATGGCCACCCGGTCACATGACCAGCTAGCCACGCCCACAAAATAAGCCACACCCACAGTGTCCCTCTTTACCAATGTTAAAATCTGGTCACCTTACTTTAAAGCACTTCATGGCAAGGGTCTAGGTTACCTGAGGAATAGCCAGCCACTTCGGTGATCCCTGGCTAACACATGCCATATGCTAAATAAATAAATAAAACCTGAGGAACCTATCATCCCCACTACATCAATCCATTCCACTCAGTCAAGCAGGGAGGTCATGTTTCATATCCCATTAGTCAAGGAGTTTCAACTGGCAAAACCAGTTGAACCAGGAAGGGGGCCTTCTCTGCTGTTACCCCTGTTCTTTAGAAATTTTACCCTCAATCTTCTGAAGTGTGTGAGGCAGCCCTGAGGGTAGCTGGTGGCTTGAGGGCACTCCCACACTCTCATTAACTTTTTAGCCTTCTGAATTTTTTAACTTTGACTTTCACTTCAAGCTTATAAGTTTGAACTTTTTGTCTGTGCTTTTGTTCAGGTTTTATTTATTATGTTGTTGTAAATTACCCAGAATCCCTTAGTTGAGGTGGGCAGCGTAGAAATTTAATAAATAAAGCCAGAGAGACATAGAGGCTGCATTTGCTCATGCAGATAGCTAACAATATTTTATAGTAAATTTGCTTTGTAGACCCAGACTGCAGGGTACTACATCTGAGGCAGCGATGCTAATGGAAGTGCTTATTACAATTATATCTTTTCATGCAGGTTTTATTCTGTCAGTTTGTTGTTCAGCTGGCACTTCAGAAACGTCTGGCTACCACTTAAACGACACATTCTGAGTTTTGTTTTTCAAGCAAAACAGGCAGGCCGCTTTATTAAAAATATTTTTTGTTATTTTTTGCACATTTGAATTAATTTTGCACATTTTATTTTTTTTTATTATTAAGTGGATCTGTAGGGCTGCTTTGTATATATATAGCATTGCAACAAAAAGGGATAACTTTTATAGACCATTAGGAATTAATAATCAAGCAGATAATCTAAATTATTTACATGATTACCTTTAGTTTTATCACATTTATGTTTGAGAAACGTACCTTAAGATAGGAAAAATTTCTTTACTGGGAGGTTGCTCTGAGGGGAGAGAGAGTATTAACCATTCTCCAATCTTGTGTTACTTAGTTGTATTGTCCTCCAGCTCCCATAGTCTTCCAGCCAGTATGATTTTGACTTCACTGCTTAAAAAAAATAATGAAGACCGATCTATACATATCCTGCCATGAAAATATATCAGCTGAAACTGTTTGCATTTATATTTCTTTTACATATTTCTTATATTATGTATTTATATTGTATTTATATTGTAATAAAAATATCCCATCCTTTTCAATCCAGTTCTTTAACCTGTTAGTTTCAAATCTTAGTAGCAATGTATACATTTTGGCTTATTATATGCTCATCATTTATAGAGAATTATTTCAAATTCAGTTTTATTTTGTTTTTATTCCAACTGTCCTTTTATTTAAACCTCTCTTTCATCTGATCATGAGAAAACCCATTGAAAAGCGAGTATGTAGATTGTGTTTCTGAGCAAAGAGTAGGTTGACAATAGTAGCATCCCATTTTTTCCTCAAGTTTTTGCCCATTGTTTTGGTTTCATTAGATTGCTCGACTTGATGTGGACAGCTTATTCAGCAACATTGAATCGGTCCATGAAATATCATCCAAACTGTTGTCATTGTTGGAAGAAGCAACATCAGCTGTGGAACCAGACATACAAATAATCGGTATGTTGTTGTCTTCCTGAATTCTACAGTGCTACCTGCAGCAATAACAACAATTGTAATAATAATGCTTCTATAATTTGCCCATTGCCCCAGCCAGAGTCAAACTTACCTGTTTATTTTTCCAAACTACCATTCCATGTAGTGTACAAATGAAAGATGGAGAATCAGGCCCATAATCAACCGGCAACATCATACACACCTTAATCCAGGTGGCATCAGCTCCTATCAGACTTTCTTACCGATGCTCTTCCAGCAGCATATAATTGTACTAACTGGGTCAAATATCTTTTATTTTGGAGAGTCCTGGCCCCAGGATGTGGGAAGGCCCCGGGCATCAGGATAGCTGTAATAAGGTTTTGTCATTACTAGGCCCTACCTGATTTGTCAGGCTGGAAACAGTAAGCCTGTTTGGGGGTGGTATTCACTTACCTTCGCTACTGGTTCACAAATGGGAGCGCATGCACAGAGCGTCAAAAACGGGACGTGATGACGCCCGAGTGGGTGGGTGGAGCCTCCCGCAGCCACCGCTGGCCTGTTTGCCAATCAGTGTTTGAGAGCAGAGATATCCACTTGCGGGGGCCTAAAAAGGCAACACATAGCAGAACATTTATCTGGGGCTGAAACAAACGGGTTGTATTTTTAAGTGCTAAACTGTCATCTTCCTTTTTTTGACCTCTTGTTCAGGATGTGGCTGTCAAGAGCTGTGTTTCATATTACCTGGCTGTCAAGTATGTTCTGTAATGGAGAGGGTTGCTTTGTAGCTCTTTTTCTTAGAGGATATTCAAACAGATCAATTGACTGGCTCTAGGAGTTTCTAGGATACAGGTGACTGGACTGTGTTATTTAACCCTTTTCAAATGAACCACCCAGAGATGAGTTGTCTTGTTCTAACTGCACTCTAAACCTCCACTAACTCTGTATATTTATTAGATTATATTCTGTCTTTCATCCAGGAGCTCAAAGCAGTTTACAGTATATGGGTATTTTTCAGTGGTGAAATCTAAAATTTGTTACTACCGGTTCTGTGGGCGTGGCGTGGTGGTGGTGGAGTAATGTGATTGGGTGGGCGTGGCCAACTTTTTTTTTTAACTTTTAAAACCATTTTTTCTACAACCTCTTCGGCGAAGAGGTTGTAAAAAAATGCTTTTAAAAGCCTCTGACGATCCCAGCTGAGTTACCTGATCGCCAGAGGCTTTTTTTTCTATTAAAAGCCTCTGACGATCAGGCAACTCAGCTGGGATCGTCAGAGGCTTTTAAAAGCATTTTTTTATAACCTCTTCAGCCGATGAGGTTGTAGAAAAAATGCTTTTAAAAGCCTCTGACGATCCCAGCTGAGCCGCGCGATCATCTGAGGCTTTTTTTTTTTACTTTTAAAAGCATTTTTTCTGCTGAAGAGGTTGTAGAAAAATGCTTTTAAAAATAATTTTAAAAAGACTCTGATGATTGCATGGCTCAGCTGGGCATGGCGGGGTGCAGGGATTTTTGCTACCGGTTCTCCGAACCACCCGCTGCCATCGCTACCAGATCAGGCAATCTTACCCCTGGTATTTTTATTTTACTTTCACAACAAAGGTGTCTTTCCATGGCTAAGATTGGGCTTGAATTTAGGTTCCTGCAGCTCCAGTCCAACACCTCAGTTACTACATCCCACTGGATCTGCCTAGAAAAAAAAAAGGACAAAGCTGCATAAAAAGAACACCTTCACACAGATTAAAACAAGGGTTTTAAAAGTTTCCCAAATTGTGCTTTATTTGATGTCATATAAAGCAAACATAACTGACCTTCCATGTGTTTCTGAATTATAATATCTAATATTCCTTGCAATGACTGATTTCACCATGAGTTTTTTTATTGTTTGGGGTTGGTTTTTTTTTTGCTTTTTTCTTATGAATGCAAAAGCTAAATAACTTTTTGATCTTTTAGTTGGTCATCATTTATGTTATGATGTAATTCAATATTCTATAAATAATATGTTAGGTCAGGAGGAATGGGCTAGGACATCTATCTAGAACACACTCATGCGTTTTCTTGCTATGAGGAATGATTTGTCATTGTCATCCTCCTATGCTTTTTCAACTTCTCAATCTAGCCTGTAGCTCTTAGATTTGATCTGATCACCCATCCAAATTCTAAACAGAACCAATGCTGAATATTTAGTCACATTGAATCAGTGTTTCACCTCCATGAACATGTATGCACATGCACACGTGACATACAGGCACACAAATATAGGGTGAAGATCTGGTTCAAATTTGACATCCAAACTGTGATTAGAAATCTGAAGATAGCAAGATTTACTTTGGAGCATTTGAGTTTGAAGATGTAATTCTTAAATATATCAAACCTATGCTTAGTAGAAAAGCATCAAAATGTCCACAGTGCTTTATGTAACCTATAGCTTTCTGAGTGTTTGGGTTCACACTACATAAAGCTTTATTTTGTCTTTTTAAAAAAACAAAAACAAATAAAACATAACAAATCATGATTTGTTGACTGGGAGATTGGCTGGGTTTAAACAAGATGCCGCACCCTAAAGTTAGGTCTTAGCACAAATGACACAGAACACTGAAACAAAAGGAAGTGCTTCATGATTTAAAGGGATTAATGAAACCAGCCAATGCACAGTTAATCTTAGAAGAAACAAGAATATTATTGTTGACTGTAACAGTTGCTATGTGATTCCTGGTTTAGAAGCAACAAGGTAGAAAAATAGTCATGTTTCATTATATCGAATTATAAGTTGAATGGCTTTTTTGAGACAGCCTTCTGCAGCATCCAAGGACACTCTGATTGATAGGTTGTTGATTCGTATTCTTAGTACTGTTATTAAAGTAAATGATGTGAATGGCTGAGGAAAGAGGAGGTTTCCTTTTCTTATGCATGCAGTAAAAAGGACATGCCTCCATTTAATCATATCCATGTGCACATTATCTGTAATGAAAGCTGTGCATTTAGCCTCTTGTCAACCCAGTTCACCTTTCTGTGTTTGGCATTTATCTTAGCTACTAGACACAAAGGAAAAATCAAAGACTGAATTGTTTTGTCCCCAACTTAGCTAGAAGCCGAAATAAATACATTGCACAGAGGTGCTGCTTTTTCCAGATATGTTTTTGCAGCTGAGGTATCAAATAAGACCATGTGTTATGCTTTCGCATTTCTGTATCTGCATCATACTCTTAATGAGAAGTAAATTCTTTCAGAAAGTTTCTTTCTAGTTGCTTTCAAGAAGTCAAAGACTGACTTCCTTTTTGGTATGTGCTTTTCTTTGTTTAGGGTTTACCTTTCATAACAGCTTGGTGTTTCGAAATCAGGCAAAGTCTCTGTGTGCCCCTGAAGCTGGTTATCACTGGGCTCCTATCCTTATTGTGACTATTGAACAAACCAAGAATGATTTAATTTAGTGTCCACTATAAATCAAGGAGCCCAACAGTGCTGTGCTTTATTTTCAAACCAAGAACATAAATAAAAATTGGTTTGCACATCACGACTTAAGTGAGAATGACAAGGAAAGATTCCTAATGCAGCTAATATGTTAAAGAATTTAATTTAATTTAATTTAATTTAATTTAATTAATTCAATTTATATGCCGCCCCTCTCCGAAGACTCAGGGCGGCTCACAATACATTTTAAAAAATCATCACAAAAAACATTTAAAAATTAAAAACATTAAAAACTCATTCACGCCATTCATGGCCGGATCTCACCAGATCACAAGAGCGAGATCAACGGCCCCAGTCCTGCCGGAAAAGCCAGGTCTTCACCGCTTTTCGGAAGGCCAATAGGGTGGGGATGATCCGGACCTCAGGAGGTAATTGGTTCCAGAGAGCCAGGGCAGCCGGAGAGAAGGCCCTTCTCCGTGTGCCCGCCAGCCAGCATTGTTTAGCTGACGGGACCCGGAGGAGACCAACTCTGTGGGATCTTACTGGTCGCTGGGAGCTAGGAATTATTTCTTATAAAGACAAGGACTAAAATTGACAACGCTTTGATCTTATAGTTCTCTGTAGTTGACTTGAGTCAAAGAGCTGTCCTGTGTAAAATAGGTTCTCTTAAAAAAGAGACCTTAATGGATGTCATTTAGAGCAGGGGTGTCAAAATCAATGCCCGGGGCCCGGATCCAGCCCATGGGGTGCTTAGATCTGGTCCAAGGGGCCTCCCTAGAAACAGCAATGTACCACCTTGCTGTGCCTCTGCCTGCGAAAAAAGAGCTCTGGAGGGCCCCGTGCGGCCCTCCCAGGCTCCATTTTCAGCTGCAACGGCATCCTGCCCCCATCTGCCAGTGAAAACAGAGCTCTGTTTTCAAGCTGGCCACACCCACCCCGCTCCGGAGGTCAAACACAGCTCTGATACAGCCCTCAATGAAATCAAGCTTGACACCACTGATTTAGTGCAATATTCAATAATTGCAGCACAACCACTGAAAAGGCCAACTGAGATTCCAAAGCAGGAAACAGAATTTCCAAGACCAATTGTAAGTGTCCTGCAGATTTTAGAGGAGACAATATATCCCGTTACAAATTTTAGGGAGATCATGTATCATCTGACAGTGGTTTTATTTTGACTTATATGTATTTTTGACTTTCCCAGGTCAAGTGTTTCTACAGATTAAAGATGTACTAGAAGAAGCATACAAAATCTACTGTTACCATCACGATGATGCTCACCTTCTTCTGGAATTCTATGAAAAGGACGAGGAGTTGAAACAATGTATAAAAGACTGTTTACAGTCCTTGAAGTAAGATTTTTAGAAAACATTGTTTTCATTTTTTTGTTATTGTACGACATATGCGAGAGCTAATGTTTATTATAAATCCTAAATTATGTGGGAATTGGAGAGGATTATATTTTCAAAAGTTTGCTTTATTAAGGGTGTTCCTGTTTTTTCAAGAAGTTACTTGATTAGATTTATCTAATGCTTTTGATTCCTTTTGCATGACTTCAAAGAACTAAAAATGTTAGCAAAAATACAATATTATTTTTTATCTTTATTTTACTTTTGCTTTATTATTATAAAGATAAAAACTAATACAAACTAAAAAAATGAAAGAATAAAAATAAATCATATAAAGTGCAGAAAAGAAAAATAGAAAAGAGGAAAGAAAACAGTAAAAAAGAAAAGTTATATAAAGAAATAACTTACCCTTTTATCACGAGTATAAACAATTTCAATAACTTATCAATTTCTTATAAAATACAACAATATCTTTTTCTCATATCCCATATCTTATCTATAAACAATCCTCATTAAAGCCTCATCAGTACTGATCAGCAAAAGTCCATTAAAGGTTATCAGAGATAGCAACATATTTATTTAACCTTAATCAAATAAATGAACATTATATTCCTCCCTTTTAATAATCTTGAAATAATGTCCTGGAGTTTGATTTCTTTTCATATTTTTTTTTGTTTGTTTCTTCTCACAAAATTCTTTAAAGATTTAACCTCTTTTGTAAATCCAATATAGGAAAATTATCCAGGTTATTCTTTTGGTTTGTTATTTGTATCTACAGTACCTTTTCATTATTAAGATATCAGCCAATTTTTTTACACGTCCACTATATCATGTTTTTCCATGTCACAACCTGTCATTTTAAAATCAAATTTAAATCAATTGTCATCATGTCAGGTAACACTTGTTTCATTTCCATAGCATCTTTTAAATACTGTATATTCCATAGAGGCTCATACTTTTAAAACTAGTTGATTGTTCAAAACATTTTTTTCAATAAGTTTAATGTTAAAATATTTTGCTTCATTCTGTATTAGTAAATTGAGTGTTTGTCTCTTTTGACTGTAACATTTAGTTCCTTCCAGTTCTCTCTATTGTCTATTAGTTAAACTTTTATTAGCGGTATGTTTTTTTTTTAATAATTCAAAGAAAAAATATTTTCCCACGGGAAAGATTCTTCATAATTAATTCCAAAATCTTACTTCAAATTCATCTGGTCTGTTTGTAACCTTCCAAAATCAAAATTCTAATTACACTTTTGCTGTTTATTTAAAAAAAAAATTAAACTTGTACTTAAAATGTCCGTGGCTAAGGATTGAAGGAAACTCACCTGGCACTGTAAACATGTCAATCCAAAGATTTCTAATATCCGAAAATCAGTTAACAAGCAATTTCCAAAAGTGATTAGAAAAATATGTAAATCCAATGCCCTTAAAGATGCCAACCATGGCTTGAGCAAGATGCCTATTCCCTTATCCCCTACAGCATAAACATGCCAAATATCACTGTCTTGCAGTCTTCTCGCAAGGAGCAACTCTAAGGAGAACTTGTGGGTGATTTCAGGTATTCTCCTCATACAGAAGAGAATTACAAAGAGCCAGTCCACTTGCCAGTTCTTCATTCCATCGCAGTTGTTGGTTCCACTTTTAGCAGAGCTTTCAATTTATTTATTTATTTATTTATTTATTGAATTTCTATACCGCCCTACTCCCGAAGGACTCAGGGCGGTGCACAGCCATGAAATAAAACACATAGATATACAAAATTTAAAATCGAATAAAATGAATTAAATAAATTTGGCTGAATTAATACCCAATTTAAAATACCCATATTTTAAAATCCATTAAAAATTTAGAATTTACACTTAAAAGGGAGAAGATTTAGGCGAGGCCAGCTTGATGAAACAAAAGCGTCTTCAACTCGCGGCGGAAGGTGCGCAGATCCGGAATCCTCCGTATCTCTGGGGGGAGCTCATTCCAGATCGTCGGTGCCCCCACAGAGAAGGCTCTCCCCCTAGGGGGAGTCCAAAAAAGTCCAAAAATGGAATATTAAGAATAGGTTTCCTTATTATTCATGCAGTAAGGCCCAAGAATTCATATGTGTAAGTACTACACCACAGTTCTATTTACTGGGATTGTGAAAATTCCAGCAAAGGAATGGAAGCACCTGGGCATTAGCCTCTTCCAGCTTTTGAAATTTTTGGAAGGGTTGATACAAGACAGTGAAGAGAAGCCATAAAGGTGAGTGCTTTGCTTGACTCTTAGAAGCAAATGGAATGTATGGCTTCATGAAGTATATTACAAAGGAATAATGTCAGGGTTCCAAGTAACATACCCATAGCAAACAAAACTCTGAAGCAGATAGATTCCTCAAAGAATAGGTTTATTGGATATGTCATTGTCAGATGTAAATGCCTTATTCTATAATGTGTAAATAGTATATGAATGGGATATCAGGGGTTAATTTATCCTTCTATTCTTAATGTATTCATATTTCACCACTCCCTCATATAGCTCCACCCACTGTATATATAAGGAGCCACCTTCACCCTTTTCCTTGCTTCTATCTGTGAATATTCAGTGAATATAGAATGCCTATTGTAAATAAAAGGAAGTATATTTAATCCTTTAACTCTTACTATTATTATTGAGTCTGATCCTAAAAATATTGCAACAGTCATATTGGCACAGGCTGATGAAAACCGACTCTGATTATTCCCACAGTTTTCACCTCATTAAAAGTAAAAGTTTTCCACTTTCTCAAAACAATCAATCACATGGTCCAATCATGATACTGTCCAGTTGCTGGGTTATTCCAGTTCCCTCCTTCCGAGCACCTGCAGGAATGTCCTTGGTTCCCAAGAGAAAGTATTTTGTTTTGACTACAAGGCCCCAACTATCTCTATTCCCCCCTCCCTATCCCTCTTCTCCAATGTATCAGCACTGAAGTCTCAAAATGGCCTCAGTCAGGCCAGCTTCAGGGTTGACAAATAATTCATTGACGAATCAATAAAGTGAAACACCTTTTATAAAATTGCATGATTTAATTAATACTCCATTGTTCTTCAACAAAGCAGTACCTAGAAGTTTATTTATTTATTTATTTATTATTTAAATTTGTATACCGCCCTTCTCCCGAAGGACTCAGGGCGGTGCACAGCCAAAATTAAAATACATACAATACAAAATTTAAAATAATTTAAAAGCAGAATTAAATCGAATTGGCTTCCCAAAACATTAAAACCCATTACCCTTAAAATAACCCATTAAAATTTTAAGCCAGCCCAGCTTGCTGAAATAGGAAGGTCTTCAAAGCTCGATGGAAGGTCCGGAGGTCCGGGATTAGTCGTATTCCTGGGGGTAGCTCGTTCCAGAGGGCGGGTGCCCCCCCAGAGAAGGCTCTCCCCCTGGGGTTCGTCAGTCGACATTGCTTGACCGACGACATCCTAAGGAGGCCCTCTCTGTGGGACCGAGTTGGCCGGTGGGAGGTTATCGGTGGCAGAAGGTGGTCTCGCAAATAACCGGGCCCTAAGCCATGGAGCGCTTTAAAGGTGAGAACCAATACCTTGAAGCGCACCCGGAAGACCACTGGAAGCCAGTGCAGCTCGCGCAGGTAAGGTGTCACATGGGAGCACCAAGTTATTTATTCATCAATATTTATTCATTTGTTTGTTTGTTAAATGCCTCATCTTTTCTTGGGGCCACACAAATAGAACTTTCCCTTAATTTTATTCCCACAACATGACAATATAATATCAAACTGTGATGAATCTAAAATTGAAGTGAAGATCTGAAAGTCCCATTGCGCCAGAAGGAATATATAATATTGAAAAAGTTACTGCCTTATTATAATAATACTAAATCAAGATATAGTTTGTTTTAAGCACTCAAGGTCTACAAAATGGCTTCTGGATTCCTCGTGGGTCTTTTAGATTTTATTTTTAATGATAAATAATTTATTCTTTTATTGTTATTCTTTTATATATTCTTTTATTCATCTTAACAATAAAAGTGGTGGGTGGCTCGAATCTGTTTTGTTAGGATGTGTGTTTATCTGCCAAGAAAAATTACAAAGGTAAGCTGATAGAATGCATCTGGGAGACTTAAAGATGCACTTGTGTATCATGGAAAAAATAATTTCAACAGCTCTGGAAAATTGGTATGTTGTGACTGGTTAGATTCTCTGTGATAGCCATTTCATTAGATGCCTGGGACAGTTCTCAAAATACTTAATGCCCGCTGGCTCAAAAAAAAAAAAAAAATCAAAGATATCTGAACTAGAATCAGTCTACTAATATTCTCTAATTCAGCTAATTTTGCTGACTGCCAGCAGTTCAGCAGTTTGAATCTCACCAGGCTGAGGGTTGACTCAGCCTTCCATCCTTCCGAGGTCAGTAAAATGATTGTTGGGGGCAATACAGGGGTGAAATCCAGCAGGTTCTGACAGGTTCTGGAGAACCAGTAATGGAAATTTTGAGTAGTTCGGAGAACCGGCAAATACCATCTCTGGTTGGTCCCAGAGTGGGGTGGGAATGGAGATTTTGCAATATCCTTCCCCCAGGAGTGAGGAGGGAATGGGGATTTTGCAGTATCCTTCCCCTGGAGTGGGGCGAGAATGGAGATTTTGCAGTATCTTTCCCCTGTCACGCCCACCAAGCCACGCCCACCAAGCCATACCAAGCCACGCCCATAGAACCGGTAGTAAAAAAAATTGAATTTCACAACTGGGGCAATAGGTTGACTCTGTAAACTGCTTAGAGAGGGCTGTAAAGCACTGTAAAGCAACGTATAAGTCTAAGTGCTATTGCTATTGCTTTTCTTAAGAGACTGCTAATGATTCCGTATTTCTTTTTCTTTTTGCAGAAAGATCTATGAAGAAGGGTAAGTTATACATTTATTTACATGTATTACAGTATTACATCCGTCCTGCATTTGGGATGGCTAATTGTGAACCCTATTTATATGTATAATACAGGTAGTCCTCAATTTATTTAGTGACTGTTCAACGGCACTGAAAAAAGGCACTGAAAAAAGTGACTTATGACCATTTTTCACACTTATGACCACTGCAGCATCCCCATGATTATGAGCTCAAAATTCAGATGCTTGGCAACTGGTTCATACTTATAACTGTTGCAGTGTCTCGGAGTCATGCAATCCCTTTTTATGACTTTCTGACATGAAAAGTCAATGAGGAAGCCAGATTCACTTAACAACTGGGTTAATAACTTATCAACTGCAGTGATTCACTTAACAATTGTACGAAGGTCGTAAAATTGGGGCAAAACTCATTTAACAAATGTCTGACTTAACAACAGAAATTTTAGGCTCAGCTGGGGTTGTAAGTCAAGGGCTACCTGTAAGAACCTTATTATACCTTATTATGTACATAAATCAGTGAATATGTTATTGTATTCCACTTTTTTTTTGGAAATCAATAAAAGTATTGAGAAAACCATGAACAGCCAAGAAAACAAACAAAGGGATTGTCAGACAAATCAATCCAAAGCAGGGGTGGGTTCTACTTATCTTTACTACCGGTTTCAAATGGGATCGCGTGCGCACCGAGCTTCTGTGCATGCGCAGATCGCCTATGATAACATCTGGGAAGTGGGCAGAGCCTCCTGCCGGTTTTACTATCGGTTCTTGAGAACCGGTCCGAACCAGGGGTAACCCACCACTGGTCCAAATTTTGTTACAGGTACAAATGAACAAGCTCAAATTACCCTACTTTGACCACATTATGCATTATACAGAAAAGGCTGTAACAGTGGTAAAGGTGGAAGGAAAGGAAAGAAGAGGATGGCCAGCAGCAAAGTGGATGGATTTACAGTGGCATAACAGAATAACAGAGTTTGAAGGGACCTAGTCCAACCCCCTGCTCAAGCAGGAGACCCTATACCCATGATGGCAAACCTATGGAACGCGTGCCTGAGGTGGCACGCAGAGCCCTCTCTGTGGGCACACACGCCGTCGCCCCAGCTCAGCCAGCTGGTCGTCGGGTTTACAGCACTCTGGTGCAAGTGCTTGCACATGTGCACGCCCGCGCACCAGTGGTGGGTTGCCCCCGATTCAGACCGGTTCGCAAGAACTGGTAGTAAAACCGGCGGGAGGCCCCGCCCACTGCCCCGGATGTCATCATCGGCGATCTGCGCTTGCGCAGAAGCAAGGCGTGCATGCATGTTGCGAACTGGTAGTAAAGATAAGTAGAACCCTCCCCTGGTGCACGCGCACTTTCTGGTTTTGGCACTCTGTGCCTAAAAGGTTTGCCATCACTGCCCTATACCCTTTCAGATAAATGGTTGTTCAATCTCAATCTCAAGTGATGGAGCACTGAAGCACCTTCTGAAGGGAAGCCATTTCACTGATTAATTGTTCTAACAGTCAGGAAATCTCCTTATTTCTAGGTTGCTTCTCTCCTTGATTAGTTCCCATCCATTGCCTCTTGTTCTGCCTTCAGGTGCTTTGGAGAATAGGTTGGCTCCCTTTTCATTGTGGCAGATACTGGAACGTTGCTATCATGTCATCCCTAATCCTTGTTTTCATTAAACTAAAAAAAAACCTTAAACTGAGCAGGTTAGGGGCAGTTCATTCAGAAAACACATATATATGGTGAGGAGCATCACGTACGGTAGACCTTTGGAGGACTAAGAATAAAAAAATGACATGATAGAACATAATCAAGCAAATTTTTTAAATCTCAAGCCAACATTCATACAGTATATGACAGGCTTAGATAAAGTCAACTAACTCACTCTCATCCACTGGAAAGATGAAAGACCTACTGTGATGACCCAGGGCTGGTCACAGAAGCAACATAGCCAGAACGAAGGCTTAACTCCCCTTTATTGCTCCAACTTTGCCCCAAAAGCCCCACTGTTCACTGCAAGTCCAGGAACAAAACTCTAAACACGCAGCTCCAATAGTTCCTGGCTGCTATTAGTCCAGAGGAGCAGCACAGTTCTGACAGCAGCCACAGTTCAGGGAATGTGGTTCCAAGGAGTCCTCATCACAGGAAGAGTTCACTGAGACTGCAACACAACCTGGAGCAGAACTGGCGAACTCGCACATAGTTCGCCAGTTCTATGAGCAAACTCGCACATAACCTGGCCAGGCAAGCAGGGCAAGACAAATAGGGCATGGCAAACAGGACAAGGCAAGCAAAGTATCCAGATGTTGGTAACAGCACGTGAGACTGGAAAAAGACAACACTTGTTCCCAATAGGTGCCCCTCCCAACAGTGTCTCTTTAAATCTCATTCCCCAGGTGAGAGGAGGGCACCCTCTTCCCGAGTCGTTGGGTTGCCCTGCACTGATCCTGCCTCCTCTCCATTCTCCGTGCTTGGAGATCAGGGGAGACAGGTAATTGCTCGTTGTTGGGGCTCCGTCACTCCTCTGCTCTGCTTCCTGCCCTCTCCTCCCCCCCGGTCATCCTGTGCCCTCCCTCCTTCACTGGTGACCCTTCCCAGGCCCGAGGGACCTGGGACTGCTTTGTCCTGCTCCTCCAGTCATTCCTCCATCAGCCCTAGCTCCGTCTCGTCTCCTTGGACCCAAACGCCGATGGGGCCATGACACCTACCTTCTCACACCTTCATGTTCCTTCATGCCTCCTTTATAGCATTAAACATCCATGAGGCCATGCTATCCATGAAGCTCTACATGGAATCTGCCTGTAATGGTATCAGTAGCCTGAGGATAAAGACCTTCAGGTCTTTAAGGAATGGGTAGTGAAGACTTGATGTCAATACCCTCATCCTGTTCCTAAGTCCAGTCTGACTGCTATAAAAGCGATGGGGACTGATGATGATAGGAGTGGTGATGTCAAAGATAGGCAGGATAAGATAAGTTTCCAATGACTTCCTCTTTTTTTTCAGTCACTTTGTTGCCTTCTGCTCATGGTCTCCACATACAGTGCTGGTTTAAACAAGATTTATTTAATAAAGTGCAGTTTGTTGGCTTCACACAACATATGAAAGCCAAATAAATAAGTAAAGCATGTTCTGGCTTAACAGCTTTGGTAAACCCAGTTTTTTGTTGACTGTTGAACAATTGGGTGTGTATACTATAGTTTTGAACTCTAAATACAGCATCCATATAATTAAAGAAAAAATCAGGAAACACTTTTCAGCTTACCCAATTTAACCTAATCATTATTGGTGCCTTACCTCTGGTCACGAACGGAATTTGTTTGTGACCTGGCATAATATATATACTTGTCTTATAACAAAACACAGACACAGTTTCAACAGTTGACCTACCCTTCCTTGGCCAATGAAAACTCCTTAATTAGAAAGCTCACATGGTTTTGTGATCCTGAGTTGGCATAATAAAGCTCTTGTCTCAATCAAATGTAGTTAAGGTTGTGCTTATACAAATAATATCAAAAGACAAAAAGAGATCATACCTAGGCATATTAATAGCAGATGTGCATTAAATTACTCTTGCTGAATTTCTGAAAATTGATGTGCCCTTATCATTGTTAAAGTATAGGCCAAAAGCTGTGAATTGCACCGATTATAAATTGGTCAATAATTCATTAGCCTTTCAAAATATAATTTATGGATGGTGCTGTTTGGACTAGATACAGGGGATTCATGTAACCTCCAAGCATCCAGAGACAATAAAAGGCTCTGTTCTTTTTTGGGAATCCTAATGAGCATTTTGGCATGTGGATTTCTGCACATCTGTCTACTCGATGTTCCAGCTCCACAATAACCCTTTTCTTTAAGCTCTACCCAGAGCCCTTAACTCATAGAAAAGACAGTATGTTGGTGATTAGCAGGATAATAGCTCTATGACATCCTATGAATAATTTTGAGAGTCATTTAGGCATGCACACACATATATAGCTGCAAAGAAATGAGAACCCTTCTGCGTGAAGCTTTTGCATTTTAGTTTAAACAGAGAAACAGAGTTCTCTGTACTATGAAGTAGGAGCTCCCCCAAGCTGTCAGATACGGCTTGAATAACTCTGCTTAGACAACTGAGTTCCTGGCAGAAATTAATTTCCGCATTCTGCAGCATTGATCCTTTTATTTTGTTTTGCTTTTAAGTAAAGCCTTCTTCAGGTTGAGCTTGAATCCTTGATGACTTCATAGACATGTACTGCAGTTCATGTAGTTTTCCTGGAGATAATATAAAAGTGGCTTGCCACGAATATCTGAAATTTTGTTGTTTTCTAGTATGGTTTGCAGCCATGTTATCTTTGCATCCCTGCCAAGATAAGATGTATACCTGGGAAAAATAATAGCAATTCCAACTTTAAAAAGCAAACAAAATATGCTATACTGTATACTGCCAGTGAGTCAACAGGGAAGGATAACAAGGTCATCAACGGTTTATTAATCTAATCTAATCTAATCTAATCTAATCTAATCTAATCTAATGCAATGCAATGCAATGCAATGCAATACAATACAATACAATACAATACAATACAATACAATACAATACAATACAATACAATACATACAATACAATAATACAATACAATACAATACAATACAATACAATACAATACAATACAATCTATAATTGGGCTGCTGGCTTCCAGGAGAAAACTCCCAGGAAAAAAATCAAAAGATTGCAAAAGATGTAGTATCCTGTCCATTTCTTGTACCATAATGATAGTCTGATTTATAGAAAGAAACAAGCAAGGTTTCCCAAGTCACAGAAGAAACAGATTTGCAGCTGCTAAACTAATCTGCTTTGTAAGTAGAAAGAAGGTCAAAGTCTGATTGTACTAGTTATATTAGATTAATTGCAAGTGAAGTTTTATTTCCAGTCTGATACAGTGAAGTTTTGTGCTAGTATACAATAAATGGTAAAATGCCCTGATTGGCAAAAGGCAGTCTCTGCTCCCTGTAACGGGAGCATTCCCTAAACTCTGCATAATCACCACAAATGCTATTAAGTCTAGGTTCAAAATTAGCTCAGGAATAGCCTTTTGCATGCCACTATTCAAAAAAGTATTGTTTGTATAAATAGACAAATATCTCTTGCCATTTGCAGCTGTATTTAAGCAATCTGCTTAGCCACAGCTAACTTAACTAAATTAAGCAAACACGGTGGGCTTGCACTTTGTGCTAAAGTAGACAGAAAGCTAGGGGCTGTGATGGCTCAGTTGTCAAAGATGCTGAGCTTGTTAGCTGGAAAGCTGACCACCTCGGCTCGAGACCCAAGCACCGCATGACGGGGTGAGTTCCCGTTACTTCCCAAGCTCCTGCCCACGTAGTAGTTCAAAAGCATGCAAATGTGAGTAGATAAATAGGTACCACTTCAGTGAGAAGATAACAGTGTTCCATATGCCTCAGCATGTTCTGGCCACATAACCATCCTTCACTAAGAAACAGAGATGAGCACTAGAGTCAGACATGACTAGAAAAGAGAAACCTTTATCTTTTCCTTTAGCCAGAAAGCTGGCTTTGCTCACCATGCTGAGTTAAACTGTGGTTCTCTGTTTGTGGTTTGGTATGCTATGACAACACAATCATTGAAATGTAGATGAGTCAGAATTATAACAGAAGGGAATTAGACTTCTGTGCCCTCCGAGATTCATTCATAAAACCATGGAAGGTGTTGACTATTTGGCACACTAAACAACAAAGATGCTAATGCATTTGCAGAACTAGGCGTATCTACAATTGTAATAATCAAATATTCATGCTAACATTTCCCCGCTACTCCTAAGCTTGTTACGGTAAGAATTGCTGTTAGTGTGGGGTTGTTGTGAAAGCTAATTATTACAAGGAAATGCAATCGTCTTCTTCCCTATTTTGCAAGAACTCTCCTTTGTACTTAACATGGCTTAATTTAAATTTCAGGGGAAAACCAAATCTACTAGATATGGGATCTCTGATGATCAAACCAATACAACGTGTAATGAAGTATCCTTTGTTATTGTGTGAGCTCTTGAATGCCACTCCTAGGTCTCATCCCGACCACAAAGCCCTGCAGGATGCCTTGGTTGCTATGAAAGATATGAATATGAATATAAATGAACTTAAAAGGAGAAAGGATATAGGTAAGAGAAAGTCAAACAATATGGGATATTTGTACGGGACCTGCTTGCATGACCTTTTCAGAACAATGAAATGACCATTATAGAAAATAATAAGATGCTGGACCATATTGATTTTTTTCCCTGTATGGAATGAAATTTGAAGCTTGCATACATGGCAAGCAGCAGCAAGCAGCAGCAAGCAGCTTTGTTTTAAATATAAGTACCTGAGGAATGACTGTGAAAGAGCAACATTCTCCTCGTTTCCATTCTTGTGAGCTTCCAATATATTTGGCCACTACGAAAACAAAGTATTAGACCAAACAAATCTTTTCTGAATCATCTAGGAATTTTCTTGTGGTGAAAGCTCAGATATACAACTGAAATACCTTTCCTGAGAGGGTTTGTTCATCCCACATTAATCTGGGTTGATCTAAAGAGCTGACCAAATTATTTATTTACAAATTAAGCCATGGATTGATTTATAATGAATATGGGCAATGGAAGACAGTGGACCTGTTCCTGTGGAATTCTTATTTTATGGAGCTTTAGTTTTAGAAAAATGGTTCTGTCACTTTAATATCTGTCCGATTTCAGAACGATTGTTCTGCGCAGTGAAAATATGCCAAACGAATTTGCAGAGGTCATACATATTTCGGAAGGAAAATTGTTATAAGAAAGGCATTCAGATAGGAACTTAAATCAACTTCAAGCTACAATAATTACACTTAGCATTAATTTTTCAAATTCATTTGTGTTGTACAAAGCATTCCTGAAAGAAATGTGAAAGAATCAACATCCACTTATTAAGCTCAAAAATGTAACAAGACATAAGACCAGGATTCAGATACCTTTCCAAATGTTATACAGGCACTCCTCGACTTATGACCATTCAGCAATCCAGGACCTCCCCCATTACTTGAGGTCCCACATGCTCCAAAATAATAACTGCAGCAGGGATTGCTGGAATTCAGTGGGCATCTCATTTAATGACTGCAATGACGTATGACCATAGTTTTGCTCTGAACTGTGGTCCTAAGTCGAGGACTACTTGTACAAGAGCCCTAATCTGCTTAACTATGCTCCATGGCATAGGGCCTAGCTATCTCCAAGACCGCCTGCTGCTACCGATGACCTCCCATCGACCCGTGCGCTCCCACAGAGAGGGCCTCCTCAGGGTGCCATCAGCCAAACAATGTAGGCTGGTGGCCCCCAGGGGGAGGGCCTTCTCTGTGGGGGCTCCCACCCTCTGGAATCAGTTGCCCCCTGAGATAAGAAGAATCCAGGACCTCAATGCCTTCCGTCGTTCCCTGAAAACCTATCTTTTTCAGCAAGCCGGGTTGGCTTAAGAAGAAATTTTTAAAATTTTTAAATTCTTTTAATTAGTCTGTGATTCTTAACTTTCGGGCCAAAATTTATATATATTTTTAAATGTTTTAATATTTGTATTCTATGTTTTTTTTATCTTGGCTGTATACCGCCCTGAGTCCTCAGGGAGAAGGGCGGTATATAAATTGGAAATTAAATTAAATTAAATTAAATTAAATTAAACTATCAAACAAACTACAAGAGGCTGGTTTCACACATAGTGTCCAGCTTGAATTTGGCTTATTTTTGGATAGGCATGTTCTGTATTTGGACGCCATACACAGAACTTTATCTGATCACAAAGTAGGGCTGCAAAAATCTAAGCAACTATTATATGGCAGCAAATTGTTAGCGTTATCTCTAAATCTCTGTTTCTATCCAACACATTGTTTGGAATTTCACAACTCAGATCTGGGAGTCCAATAAAAACACTTCCCAGGGGCTAAGCTTGAGGAAGACATAGGAAGGGGCCCATAACCCTGAAAAAAAGCTAAGCATATTCATATTATGAGAAAATAGTTTATTGTGATGTTGAAATACAGGCAATGGTGATGATATTTGACTGGATCCTTAAACATATTATAGCATGTTCTTTGTAGGATCAAAGCAATATTCATGTGGTTCACAATTCAGTTTTCAACAATTACTAGCTTCAAAGTGATAGACATTCCTTGCATTTAGAGTTCATGGGTATCTCATCTCTTTATACGGGAATTCCCTTGGGCTATTGTTCTTCATAAAGAACAATATATGCTTATTCATAGGCCAAAAAAAAAATCATTAAATCCCAGAACTAAAAAGCACATTTTGTTCCCATCTTATTTATCTTACTGCATGAGAAGACTGAAAAAATTGCTACAGCTTTAGTATTAGATGTTTGCATTTGCTTAAGGCATATAAATAAAATTAAGCATTTTTTTTCTTATTGTATCTGAGCTTCTCCCTGATAGATTCACTAAGAATTTTGCTTTGCAAACACATGAAAATTGCTATAGAATTCAAGCATCTATGCATTTTGCAATAAATAGAATCAAGGCGGCTATTGAAAATAACAGTGAAATTAAACTTTTTAAAAATTTATGTGGCCATCAGGACTTAATTATCTCTTCTTTCCGTCAGTAAAACAAATTGTAGCCTCTGTTTCTTTATTTCTCTAATCTGTGATAGCATTAAAAAAAAAAGTAGATTGAATTTCGCTGGTGCCTTATCAGTACACATCAGGGGTGAAATCCAGCAGGTTCTGACAGGTTCTGGAGAACCGGTAGCAGAAATTTTGAGTAGTTCAGAGAACCAGCAAATACCACCTCTGGCTGGCCCCAGAGTGGGGCGGGAATGGAGATTTTGCAATATCCTTCCCCCAGGAGTGGGAAGGGAATGGGGATTTTGCAGTATCCTTCCCCTGCCACGCCCACCAAGCCATGCCCACCAAGCCACACCATGCCCACCAAGCCACGGCCACAGAACCAGTAGTAAAAAAAATAGGATTTCACTACTGGTATACCAGAGGTGGGTTTCAGCAGGTTCTGACCAGTTCTGGAAAACCGGTAGTGGAAATTTTAAGTAGTTCGGAGAACCGGTAGTAAAAATTCTGACTGGCCACCCCCCCATCTTTTCTCTGCCTCCCAAGTCCCAGCTGATCAGGAGGAAATGGGGATTTTGCAGTAACCTTCCCCTGGATTGGGGAGGGAATGGAGATTTTATAGTATCCTTCCCCTGAAGTGGGGTGGGAATGGAGATTTTACAGTATCCTTCCCCTGCCACGCCCACCAAGCCATGCCATGCCCACCAAGCCACACCCACAGAACCGGTAGTAAAAAAATTTGAAACCCACCACTGTGGTCTACATTGTTATTTTTAATATGGTTTGTCTGATTACAGTGCTTAAGTATAAGAAGAATGATGAAGATGAATCTTTGAAGGATAAATTTTCAAGGTTAAATATTCATTCAATTAGTAAAAAGTCCAAGAGAGTGACTGGTCACCTGAAGATTCTGACAGGAGGAGAGCCTCAGGTAAATCACTCATTGTGTTTGCACATCATACTAAGCTATGGTGTGTTTAGACATGATTTCTTAAGTAATCAAACCTTTGCTGGATTTACTCACATCAATAATTTGCAATCCACAGTGGCCGATTTCATGCAACATGCTTAAGCCGCAACTAAGTCAACTATGTTATGGCTTCGTGCAAGGGCATCAAACTGGATTTCTTCGAGGGCCGGATCAGCATTGTACTTCTCAATGGGCCGGCCAGGAGGGGGGAGACGGGATGGATGCTCCTGGAGCACCCTGCCCACCAAAACGGGGCACAGTGGACCCCTGTGCCCCGTTATTGGCCTTGACATCCTCCTGCAGCACTTGGCTGGCCAAAACACTTTGGCTGGACCGCGGACTGGTCCTTTGTTATTTCCAGGCCGGCCCCATGGATCAGATCCAGCCCGTGGGTCTTGTGTTTGACACCCCTAGCTTAGTGCAACACGTAAATCCAGCCAGTGCTTTACAAGGATTTTAAGAGAGTTATTGGTCAGTGTACTACGCATTTTCATTCATTGGGTATCCTTCCTTTTCCTCCTCTTAATGTCCTTATTATTTGCCCATTCCAAAACAGATTTTATCAACTGCACATGCATTTCTCAAGGTGTTAAGAAATCTGGAGCACATAATTTACTTTAACGAGAATGTTTTTATATGCCAGAGTCACAATACTGCAGTTGCTATATATAAATTAGGGACTGTGATCAGGTTGTTTGTTTTAATTCTTTGCTTTCTGATTCCAGCCAGTCTGATTAGCAAAGTAGTGCTAACCGGGAGCTTACTCATGAAATATATATTATGTTAGGGCCTGTGACTGACTTCATAAGTATGTGCTATTTATTGATGAGAGTTCGCTTCAGAATGTATCTGACTACAAAAAAAAAGCAATTGCATTTTTCTGTGGTTTACTACTAATCTTTTAATGGAAGCCAGAACTAAACAACGTAGTCTGTGAAACGTTCTGCCTTAGATGGGACTCCAAACACACAGTACAAAAGTCAATATGGGGCTTCAGATGAGGTTATTGTAGTTGGCAGCTCGATTAATTTCAAAGCTTTACTAGCTCACATTTGGATCAATGCCTAAAAAATAGAGGAAACTACCTAAAGCTTAGCTAACTGCTTCTCCATCTCAGCCAATATTGACATTATTAGCATGTGGCAGCCATTCTGATTCTCTAACACAGCCTGCCCTACTTGTTAGCAATGAAATTCAGAAATCTGAACTGACAATCAAAGTTTGTAGATCTTGATTCTGTGCCAGTTCTTATCAGCTGCGCGGAATGATATGGTTTAAAAAATTCTATACAGTTTGATAAGGCTCTCATGATGAAGAGGGTATTCTCTGTGTTGAAGTTTCTTTTTAGTCAACATTTTTCAAACTCAAATAGCACTGAAGCATTTTGGGATGGAGTTATGTTTTTGTGAAATCTCAGCATTTTTTTTCCTTCTAAGTCAGGGCTGTCAAACTCATGGCCCGTGGGCCGGATGCATCATGCGCTGGCCAAGCCCGGTTTAGCGAAGGGAGGGAAAAGTTGCGATACGTCATGTGACAACACTATGACGACGTGAATTTGACACACTTGTTCTAAGTGTGGTCTTCATTGCTCCAGATCACATTTTCCATTGCTGACATTTGCAGCAGCTTCTAACTTCTTTAATCAATTACTGACCCTCTTCTGGTTAGCAAAGTAAGTTCTATCAGTCCTAGTAGGATTTGGTTTTCTTTCCATAAAAGCTTTTAAGAGGTGTATTTTATAGTGTACAAATCGCAAGTATTCCAAACGTTTGTGAGTGCATGTATGACCTAGTTTTTTTTTTTTTTTAATTTGATTTATATGCCGCCCTTCTCCAGAGACTCAGGGTGGCTTACAATGTGCTAAGCAATAACCTTCATTCTTTTTGTATATTTATACAAAGTCAGCTTATTGCCCCCACAACTGGGTCCTCAATTTACCTACCTTAGAAAGGATGGAAGGCTGAGTCAACCTTGAGCCTTGGCGAGATTCGAACCTGCAGTAATTGCAGGCAGCTGGTCTTAATAACCAGCTTAATAACAGGGTGCCTTAGACCACTGTACTACCAAGGCTCTTAGTTTGGCTAAGATAAGGCTAAAGTCAATTACCAATTTCATCTTTCTCACTGATAGCACAACATTACTATTTCACAGAAAGACCCCACAGACACAAGCTTCTTAAATTAAGTATCTTTTTTACAGAAATTATGACTTTATATGCTCCGGTCCTGCTTTACAGCCTCTCTAAGTCTAGACTGTCTACTGTTGACCTCACCCCATTCCTAAGAGGTCTGTAAGGGGCGTGCATAAGAGCACCATCGTGCCTACCGTCCCTGTCCTAATGTTCCCTTGTATTCATTTTATGTATTCAATTCACGCTTATACTTATATATATTATCTAATATGTACTCAACAAAATAAAAAATAAATAAAAATAATAATAAAATAAGCATATTGCCCCCAACAATGAGGGGAAGTTAAAAATGCCTGTCTATGAAACATGTCAATATTCATTTTTGGATCAGGATGAAGAAGACTGAAAATGATGGAAGAGAATATTTGTAGCAGTGATTTGAACTGTGGAGTCTTTGTTAGTCTCTGAGCTCAGTTTTTTCTTGAAGACATTTCATTACCAAACTATATAACATACTCAGGGCACTGCTGATGTTACCGAGATTGGTAATAAAATGTCTGCAAGAACCACCAAGCTCAGAGAGCGACAAGGACCCCACAGGACTGAAATTAAAGAAATGTAATCAGAATGGCAGTGAAGGTATTTTAATATTCCCTTAAACTGTTATTTATTGTTATGTGAAGATGCCTCAACAAACCACTGGGAAGGAACTCTAAGGCATTTTAACATTACGATTAGCAATTAAGTTCTTATCCTAACTATAATGTTTTTGTGGCTTTAGGTGAAAGACGAAGTTTTTAATAAAGAGGAGAAGTTATTCAAAAGCTTAGAAAAAACAGTCAAACTATGTGTGAAGAATATTCCATTGTCTCTTCAGCATTTAGAAGTAAGTGTTATATAACAACATTGCAACCTTGGTGCTAACCGTTCACAAGTTGCAAATCAACATTTGACTGGTCAAACCTGATTCAAATCCTGAATTGATCTCACAGATGGGAAGAAAGTACTAAAGCTCTCCTCTTAATCCATATTTAAAATGTCAGAAACAGAATTCTCAAACCATTACATGAAGATTTAAACTTCACTTAGTGTGTCTCCCGGCAACTGCACACTTTAAGATTATATTGTGTTTGTAAAGTATGGGAAGCCATTGTTAAAAAATAGTTTGGCTATCTGTTGGGCAATCAATTCTGGTTTGTTCAGCTATTACAAACAATTGTTAAGCAGCTCATGGCTTACTTTAATACGCAAGTCAGACCATAAATCTTTGGGCCTGGGTTGTATGAGAATGCTGAATTGTGGATACAATAAATAATCTGAGAAAGTTTTCAGATTTATGTATTACGTATTACATAATTTATTTATATAATACATAAATTATTCAATTTTTTAAAATAAATGACAACAATTAAATTAGTAGATCAATTAAACAATGCCTTCTTCTGTTGGGATTTTTTTTTTCATTTGTAAGGAGCTTTTAAATACTGATGCTGCACTATTGAAAAATCTTCCATTTGGAATCTGAAAACTCCAGTCAATTTCTTTATAGATCTATGCTTCAGGTCTCATCCAAGGGATCATTTTCATGGACTAATCACATTCTTGCAGGCTCTGGAGAAGACTCCTCTGCAGAAGTCAGAGTTACCACAACAGAGTCCAGCTGCAAAGAAATATGGAAAGCAGGATCAAAAGCTGACATAGATGCAATATCTATTCACAACATTCTTTTTATCTTGCTTTGGTTTCCTGTATTCCTAACCTGTGTTAGGAATACAGGGGTTTTATTGGGGGTTTAACTGTGTGTGTTTGTATACCTACCCAAAAAGGCATGTCACGAATACAAGACAAATTGGATTATTACAAACAAATCTACATAGCAGCTTTATAAATATTGTAGCAAATGGTAGCAAGCAGATTGTTTCATAAATAAGTATTCACTTCTTACTGCAAATATTATTGAACAAGTGTACATGTTAGGGTTCCAAGTAACACCCCCAACAAAAGAAAACTCCGAGGCTTGAGTTTCCTCAAAGTTCCATTTTATTAGAGATGTCATATTGGCACATCTGGGAAAACCCGAATCTGAAAGCTTCCAGGTTTTCCCCACCCAAAGGAAAGTTCAAGTCCCTGCCCAGCACCCACATGTCCATCACGTGGCCCAATCCAAGCACCTTCCCAACTGGAGATGCCTCCCAGTTCCAGGTGCAGGGCAAGATGTCCTTGACTTTTTGAGAAAGGAATGTTATTATGACTATATATCACCCTGGCTCCATACAATCCCCTCTCCCTGTTTCCCACAGTAGTAAATGTGGCAGGCCTGAAGGCCCAATGAACAAGATGGCTTCCAAGCCTGACATTCAGGTTAATGTCAGGGTTCCAAGTAACACCCCCAACGAAAGAAAAGGGGTGGTTTGTGAGTATATGTAACATTCTTTTGTCTATTTCATTTTTTTCAGGACTCTGTATTTCTCGGAGCACAGTGCATAACTGATCTTCAGGATCTACTACATGAGAATGAAGACGGAGCTAATGGGTCCTCAGACGCATTGATTAATGCTGGGCATCCCAGCAAACTCTTTGTAAGTTCTTGAATATATAGCTTTAAAAGGATTGGAATAGATTTTGTGAAATCTGCTGTGTGTAATATTGCACAACAAATCTAATAGAAAGTAGTTTGTTTTTTAGCCTAGTTACCACAGATTCCATTTTACTGTAAGTCAGGGGTGTCAAATTTGCATCGTCAGAGCATCATCACGTGACGTATCACAACTTTTTCCCCGTTTGCTAAACTGGGTGTGGGTGTGGCCAGTGCGTGACACATCTGGCCTGCGGGCCGCAAGTTTGACAGCACTGCTGTAAGTATATACAAAAGCCAGCCTTCCTTATCGGAAGAATAATTCAAAAGGTATGAACTGAGAATGAATAGAAGGTAAATGAAGAATTTTAAGTCTTCTGATTAGGAAGACTTAAAAAAAAAAAATCTTGCTCAACCACAAACCTGACTTGGTGAGTCAAGGCATAGGCCCACCACACATGGCTGTTTTGAGGATAAAAGCCATGTCAACCATCTACCTTGTGGTTTTCAAAAGGAAGAAAATCTAGTATGTCTTTCCCCCATCTTTATTCTTGCAACAACTTTGCAAGGTAAATTAAAATAGAAAATGTGACTCACCCAGTAAATTTTACACCTGAACAGAAACTTCAGCCCTAGGTTTGTAACTTAAATCTATGGCATGGAAAATTCTGTATTTTTGAATTAGGTTTTCATCTTATTATTCGTTATCTAAATTGATTCTCCCAAATGAACCAGGAATTTAGCAAGATTCTCCAAACTGGAAGAATAAATTTAAATAATAATAATAGGTATTTATTACTAGTAAATATAGGATATAAATAGCTTTACTATTTCACATCCTGAAATGTCTTCACTATGAGAACAGATTATCTTCATTCAGATACATTGTCCTTTCTCTTAGTTCCCTGGGTACATAGATTTCCTTCCTTCCTTCCTTCCTTCCTTCCTTCCTTCCTTCCTTCCTTCCTTCCTTCCTTCACTTAATTCCTTCATAATTCTCTCATTATAATTCTCCATGTGACATTCTTTTCATGATCTGATCCCACAGATATTGATCTCTGCTGCCATCCAGGGTTCAGTTCAGACTTTCACATAATGCTTTGTAGCAAGATAGGCAAGATTAAAATTGAATACAAACCTTAATTGTCCCTATGCCACATGTATCTCTCCCCACTAATTGTAAAAGTGGTACTAATCAGTTAGGATATACAGGTAATCCTCGACTTACGATCACAATTGAGCCCAAAATTTATGTTGCTAAGTGAGACATTTGTCAAGTGAGTTCTGCCCTGTTTTATGACCTTTCTTGCCACAGTTGTTAAGTGAATCATTGCAGTTTTAAGTTAGGGTTAGGGTTGTTCAGTGAATCTGGCTTGCCCATTGACTTTGCTTGTCAGAAGTTCGCAAAAGGTGATCACATGACCCCAGGAAACTCCAGCTGTCATAAATATGAGTCAGTTGCCAAGCATCTGAATTTTGATCACATGACCAAGGGGATGCTGCAATGGTCATAAGTGTGAAAAACGGTCATAAGTCTGGCAGAAGGTAGTAGTTCAGCAGCTCGAATCCCTAGTGCCGCGTAATGGAGTGAGCTCCCATTACTTGTCCCAGCTTCCGCCAACCTAGCAGTTCAAAAGCATGTAAAAAATTCAAGTAGAAAAATAGGGACCACTTTGATGGGAAGGTAAGAGTGCTCCGTGCGCCTTTGGCATCGAGTCATGCTGGCCCCATGACCACAGAGACGTCTTTGGACAGCGCTGGCTCTTCGGTTTAAAAACGGAGATGAGCATTGCCCCTAGAGCTGGAAACGACTAGCACGCGTGTGCAGGGGAACCTTTACCTTTACCTTTATGGCACAAATACAAAGTTCAATTTCAATTACTTAGGCTAATATATGCAAGATATAGACTGCCTTGTTTGGGAATATACTGTTGTCTGTTGCCGTCAACTGGGAGGCGTTTTGAGTGTGCTGACATACTTGGAAATATGGGAGATAAGGACTGAGATGCAATCCTTACGTCAAAGTTATGCTAATGTTGTTTAACGAACGGGGATGTTGATGATTTCTTTGCTCTGATATATATCTTTTGCCTTTCCTTCTTCCAATGCACAAAGCTGAATCAAGTAGAGAAGTTGGTGTTGACTCCATTGACTGCATTGCACTCTCTTTTCCTCGGCCCTCAGAAGCTCATCCAAAAGCGTTATGACAAACTTCTGGATTATAGTAGCTTGTATCAAAAAGCTTCAGGGGATGATACTGACCTGGCCAAGAAAGAATATGAGGCTCTCAATGCACAGCTGGTGGAGGAACTCCAGCGGTTCAATGAAGCAGCAAAGAAAATTGTAACCAGTTGCCTATGTTGTCTCATCACTCTCCTGAAAGACATGATGTCATCAGCATCACAATCCTTCATCCACAATGAATCCCAATTACTAGCAATTAAACCGGAGGTACTAACACCCTGCTGAAAGTAGTTTGTGATTCTTTCTTCTTTGAAGGCAGGCTTCTTATGTTTGCAATTCAAAATGCCTTTCACGTTTTAACCAGCGATTTTTGAGCTGAATTGATTGTCTCTGAAGGAAAATTTAAAAGCAAATTCACCTTCATCCAATTGAATAATAAAAAAAATACTGGAGACCTTTTGGAAGAAGTGATATTACATTGCTGGTAGATGAAATGTTGATAGGGATGGAGGTTTTTTTTTTTTTTTTAGATTAGGTCTGCACTTTCCATTTTCAAAGGCATCACAGGAAATTTCACCTCTGCAATTTTTTCAAAGGTAGTATGGAAATGAGTTGGAAGAAGGATTAATATTGATGCTGTGGTTTCTATTACATATTTTCCATCATTCCAAAGTGTCCCTGGCTACACACACTTCCAAACTGAGCATAAATATATGAGGTTTAATATTGGGATGTGTCCAATCTTGGCAACTTTAAGATTTGCCGACTTCAACATGGCTGGCTCGGGAATTCTGGGAGTTGAAGTCCACAAGTCTTAAAGCTGCCACCCTTGGTTTAAACTAAAGGATAGGAAGCCTGGGAGGCTGTGACTACAGTACTGATAAGATTCTTGCATTAGTAAAAATACAGGACATTGATAATAGAATACAGGACATTGAGTAAACGCAACAAAATTAAACTCCATCCATGAAAATTTCACCAAGGTTTTCTTTGCCTCTGAAAGAAAATTTAATAAAAGCAAATTCACCCTTATCCAACTGAATAATTAAAAAATATTGGAGAAATTTTTTGAAGAATTAGTACTGTCTTGCTGGTAGATGAAATATTGATAGGAATGAAGAGTTTTTTTAGACTGGCTCTGCACTTTTCACTTTCAAAGGCATCCCAGAAAAGCTTAGTGATGTCACCAGAAAGTGGATGGTCATTTTTGCTTCTGAGATTTTTTTTCAAAGGTAATACCATATGGAAATGAGATGCCACATAATTCTCATTTCAACTGATTAAATCTCTCCCATAATTCCACAACCAAAATTTAGTTTTCAAGGTTCGAAGAAGTTAAGGGTAGAAATGGGATCGATGGTCCCATCCCAGAGGATACTTGTCCCCAGTCATACTATTAACATTTTAAACAAAACAAAAGCTGAAATGTGGATAGTTTTTGTTTTGTTTTGCTGGAAAAATGAAGACTTTGGAAAAGGGAACACAAATCAAGTTGGGTGCTTGTGTGTAAACTGGCGCCCATGAGTTACTGATCCCTCTTTCTAGGGAAAGTTATGAGTATTGAGTTATAAGCCTTGAGGCACTTCCAGATTGAAAGGATTAAGGATGAGCCACGGTAGCGCAGTGGTTAGAGTGCAGTATTGCAGGCTGCTTCTGCTGACTGTCAGCTGCCTGCAATTTGGCAGTTCAAACCTCACCAGGCTCTAAGTTAACTCAGCCTTCCATCGTTCCAAGGTGGGTAAAATGAGGACCCAAATTGTTGAGGGCTATATGCTGACTCTGTAAACCGCTTAGACAGGGCTGTAAAGCAGTATATAAATTGTAAGTGCTATTGCTATTGCTATTAGCCAGTGTCATTACAGCTGCCCTGGGCATGCCCAATTTGGGGGTCCTTTTCATGTCCTTGGCAAGAGCTGGAGTGAAGGACAAGAGCTCAACCCTACACCATGGCAGCCCTTGGATCTCAAACGTGGGCTAGCTAACCTCCTCCGCAGCATCCAACCACATGAACCACTGTGCTCTTATAGGGAAGTTGCACATCAGTGTATGAACCGTATTTAAATCTAGGAGCTAATAAATTATGAGAGCAATTCTCTGCACATCCCTTTGGTGAAAAAGCTCCAATTAAGTAAGCAGAGCGGATTGCATTATCTGGAAGTGGCATATCTCTTGCATATGACATTTAAATTCGCTCAGCTGGGTCTTTTGCGATCCATTGTTTTCTGATTCAGCACTGTTAGGCAATAGGATGTTGGAAACTGGAAATGTGCTTGCACAATGACCGGTAAGCACATGTAGTTACAATGTGTTAATTGTGTTAATATGTGTCTATTGTGATCTCTGATAGAGATATAGATCTTAGTAGAAGCTTCTTCCTACATGAAGCTGTTGAATGATTAGGTAACCCTGAGTCTCTTTTACCATTTGCAGAAAACTTCTCCCAGTATCAGTGAAATACAAGATCAGGTTCTTGAAGATGTTCACAATTTGAATTGTATCAAGGAAAACCACTGTGTAACTTTTATTGAAAGAAAGCTGAGTTTTGAAAAAAAGAGGCCTGTCTCTCTCCAGGTATGCAATTTGCCATTAAATTGAGTAATTATGTCAAGCTAGGCGCAGAGGTGTCAAACTGGCAGCCCGCATGGCGGATACGTCACACACAATCCACGCCCACCCCAGCTCCGCAAAGGGGAAAACTTCGTGAAAGGTTGCATGATGGCAACGTGACGCTGCGAGTTTGACACCCGTGAAGCTAGGGATTCACCATCTTTATATTCAATCTAGAGATGCTGAGATCTCCCTTGGGTATATTGTAAAATCTACTATGGCTAAGTGCATACATGCTAAACCATGACTGAGTAATCTGCACTGAAGTGGATACAATTCTAACAAATAGACATTGCTTTTGGTGATGTATGGATCCCAGTTTTCACTCCGGTCTGCTTCATGCTAACAATATCAGATGCTTAGGAAGCAGCAGCTAAATCTTGATGTATATCTACCATTTGACTGATGTATATCATTCCATGCATAAAATAGTATTATCATGGATAGCTAATCTCTAAAGGATGGCCTTGTGATGTGAATCACTATAGGATAAGGATAAGTTCAAATGCCTTATATTAATTCACCGAATGAATGTATTAAAACAAGAGAAACAGACAAATTTTGTGGAAGAGGAATTTCTTTATGTAAGAGGAATCTCTCAGCTTCAAAAATATGAACCAGTACAAGTATGTGAATAATAAGACTGGATTCATACATTGGACTAAACCAGGGGTCTGCAACCTTAAACACTCAAAGAGCCATTTGGACCCATTTTCCCACAGAAAAGAAAACACCGGGAGCCACAAAACCTTCCCATGCCTGACTATTTCTTGAGCGGCCACAAAACTAGCATATGTAGTTGAATTAAATGTTCTGTTTTCTTCTGAAACTTTTCATTTCTTGGATTTATCCATGGTTGGCCTACTGGGAGTTGAAAAGTTCAATAAATCACATGCTGGCAGGTGTCTCACATTGGTGGTTATGATGCATATTTTGAGTGACAGGGAGCTGCAGCAGAGGGGTGAAAGAGCCACATACGGCTCCAGAGCCACAGGTTGCTGACCCCTGGACTAAACCATAATAATAATTTTGAACTTGAATTTGGCTTTGGCTAATTGTGATTTATTTGACAGATCATAGCTAAATAAGGCTTTTCTTATTTTAAACCAGGCCAGGACTGAAATCACATTATGTAGAAAATTGCAATTAACAGTGAGCATGCTGTTCCATGGTATATTAGTTCTTTCAATCAGCTTTTTGTTTACAGCCTGAATTTCCCCGTCAGAAAGAAGTACACCGGTTAATGCTACTTTCTACGTACAACGTGGACTTGCTATACCAAGCCAAGCGTAAATGCAATGCCACACAGGAGTTGGATATTGATCTTTATGAAGGAGAGGTGGTGGCTCTCATAGACCAAAAGGATCCTTTTGGCTCTACAAGCAGGTGGCTTGTTGATACTGGAAGTAAGTACTTCATATTGTACTCTCAGCATAGATATGCCCTAGTTACAGAGACCTGATCTTTAACATTACCTTCTTGGTTTTAGATATGGGGTTAACGGACACTTCCATTTAATCACTGTTTCACCTCTTTTCGTTTTCATTTCTACATTGCTATTCTTAAATGGCTATGGATTTTTGACTTAAATAATAATCTTGTTTGTTTGTGCTAGCCATCAGTCCAGTGAAAATGAATGGCCAACAATTAAATACATTAAAACAAATTAAGGTATTAAAATCATCTTAACTAATCTTCCAGTTCTTCTGAATCCAGTTCAACATGCATTTGGAATCTTTCAAAGTTTTTGAAGTATTCAGCTCTCTAGAGCAGGGAGGTCAAACTCAAGGCCTGTGGGCTGGATCCAGCCCATGGGGTGCTTAGATCTGGCCTGTGGGGCCACCCTGGAAACAGCAAAGGACCAGCCTGTGGTTCCTCTGCCCGTCGAAAATGGAGCTCGCGAGGGTCACACGTGCCACCCCGAGCTCCTTTTTCACTGGCAGAGGGTTGTAGGAGGCCTTCACAGCTGAAAACAGCTCAGGAGCCCGTTTTCCCTGGCAGAGTGCTTGGGCCACCACAGGTGCCCCCCAACACAAGTGATGGCATGCTGGCCATGCCCACCCCACCCCAGCACCCGAAGATCAAACACAACCCTAATGTGGCCCTCAATGATATCGAGATTGACACCCTTGCTCTAGAGCCATATTTCTCATCAGTGGTGGATTTCAAATTTTTTTACTACCAGTTCTATGGGTGTGGCTTGGTGGGCATGGCAGGGGAAGCATACTGTAAAATCTCTATTCCCTCCCCACTCGAGAGGAAGGTTACTGCAAAATCCCCATTTTCTACAGATCAGCTGGGACTCGGGAGGCAGGGAATAGATGGGGGCGGGGCCAGTCAGAGGTGGTATTTATCGCTAATCCGAACTACTCAAAATTTCCGCTACCGGTTCTCCAGAACTGGTCAGAACCTGCTGAAACCCACCTCTGTTTCTCATCCCCTGCAACTTTAAGATTCATGAACTTCTACTTCCTGGCAGCCACTGACTTGAGATTTATGTGAAATTTCCTGACTTAACCAGAAGGCAGTCCATGTTAAACTGATCCAGCATTTATGGCTGGTTCTTACCCATCTTTAGTGATTGTCTTCTTTTCAACTCTATGGCAGTGCCTTGTAGAACTTGGAAGAAGTAATCTAGTCTGTCTAGTGAACATGTCAGAGTTTGCATCACAAGTACTAAGCCTAGCTAACCTGAATATTGGTATGGGATAAGGACTTGCCAAAACAGAACAAAACAAAACACAATTGATAGTATAATGTTAATTAGATTGTATAGTTTGCAATACTTTAGAGCATTTTCATGACTCCTCCTTCAGTGGGTTTTCAGATTGCAATGTCTCTCTCTGTCTCTCTTTTTAACTTGCAATAATTTAAGGCACTTAAAATAAAATAAAAAACTCAACCTTTTGATACTCTTGGCCTTTTTTTCCTCCCTCCCCTATGTATAGTTCTTAAAGGATACGTTTATTCTTCCTTCCTGAAACCCTATAAACCAGCCAAGGAATCAAAAAATCCTGGGGAAATCCATTTCTGTGACGGTGACTTTGATAACATCAGCCTTTTTGTCTCTGCGCGACAACTGGATGACAACAGTACAAAACCCACAGAACACAAAAGAAGTGGCAGTGACTCTTCCTATAATAGCCTGTGTGAAAAAGAATTTGTGAATGGCTCAGAATTGGACAGCTGTTATGAAACAGATGAGCAACACGTAAGCATGATTTCATGACCAGTCCTTTTATTAAAAAAGGAGAGGGGATGAATTCAGGGATGAGTTACCTGTAGTTGCTGGTCACCACTTTCTAACTGTAGCTGCCTAATCATTTTTCTTCTCCAGATAAAGGAATTACAGCGTCTACTAATCTTGCCAACTCTTTTTTGTATAGTCTGATCTCAGAGAAGGAAGAGGTGCAAATGATCAGTTATGACAAAGGCAAATAAGTAGGCCTACTTAAAATATGGGCTCTGGGTCTTGTTTTTTTCCCAAATCTGGAGCTGATACTGTACTGCTGCAAAATTATTTTAAGTTAGAGCACATCACATTTTATGGTTCTTAGTGATAATCAAGAAAAGTATTCCAAGACCCAGGAGGTAACTTTAATATGCCACTGTTTCATGACTTCATACTTATCTCATTGGGAAATAAGTATAGAGTTTATAAATTTAGGGATTTGGGCCTAATATTAGTGATATTACTCAAACACATTATTCCAAAACTGACACAAGATTTTTTTTAAAGAAACAAGCGTAGTCGGATGTTGCTTGATTAGCTGAGCTGATTTGGTTGGGTGCTTTCCCCCCAGTTTTTCACTGAAATAGGGAGTAGGATCATTCATTCATTCATTCATTCATTCATTCTCTCTCTCTCTCTCTCTCTCTCTCTTATGTTTCCTATCTCTTAGACTTTCTATGCTGTTCATGCATTTCAAGCAAGGAGTAAGCAGGAACTCAGTCTTCATGAGTATCAGCGAGTTCAAATCCTTCGTTTTTCGGACCTGAGTGGCAATAAAGAATGGTGGTTAGCTGAAGCCGAAGGACAAAAAGGATATGTGCCAGCTAATTATCTTGGGAAGATGACATACACATAAATATCAGATTAATTTTACGGAATAAATTCTCAGAGCCAGAAGACTTTTATTGTGATATTATCACCCATGAATTTTTGTGCCTTAAAAATGCAATAAGCTAAGAGCTTCTAAAATCCGGAATTGAAGTACTTGTGAAGAAGAATTTTTGATGGAATGCGTATATTTACTTTTACTTTTGTCACAGTGGACTGGACAAGAACTCTTGTAATTCCTTTCACAGATTTCTGAGAAATTTAATTATATTGAATTCATCCACTGAACCAGGGGCCCCAATCTCCAGGCCGTGGTCTATTTGGAATCAGGCTTTGCGAGCATTATATTGTGCAAGTAGAGTTGTGTGTGTGCACTTGCGTGCTAGCCCATCGCTCATGCAAGTTGAGCTGTGTGTGCATGTTAGTCCACTGCGTGCATGACCCGGTTCCCCTCTGCCCCCCAGCCGGCTCGCCAAGCCACAAAGGTTGGGGATGACTGCACTAAACCATCTATAACAACAAAAATCTCATGACATAATAATCTACTTGGTCCTTTAGGTGCCACAAAATGACTTGATCTTTGCTGTGAAAACCTAACCCAACTAATCCAACTATGACAGTTATAAAATTCGATGTTTGATTTTTTGTAGATTTGTGAATTAATCAGGAATGGGCAAGAAGAACCCTATATTGTCCAAGAATGTTCTCAGGTTTCTATATATTCTTAGAAACAGTTTAGACTCAGATATAAGGAACTAAAATGGTACAGAGAAGTTGAGAAAATTCACTGGAGATTTCTTGCACATGGAAGTACCTTTTTGGTTATGCAAGACATTTCTAGTTCCAAGCTTGTAAAGAACTGAATGCACTTTTTGTTGACCTTTCAACATATTACTTTTTAATCTCAGATTAAGAACTGTAATCTCAGAACTGTAGTTCTGCTGAAAATGCTTCCTGAAATTTATTTTAAGTGACAGCTGTTAACCTCAATGGAGAGATAAATGCAATTCTGTATACACCAGGAATTATGCTTCATAAATTCTAATGGGACCCATTTCTTGTTTCAGAATTGTATTTTAAGGATAAATCCCACTGTATTTAGCAGTGCTCGCTTCCAATGAAGCATCTGTAGGATTATACTGTGTTTACATACTCTGCAATGGCCCAGAGGACATGTTCCCCAAGAGCAAGTAACAGGATAGAATTGGTGATGATGAAGCAAACTTGGGTGCTCTGGGAACCAAAGTTTGGAGCACCGGATCAAGGCAGTCATTAGAATGAAATCTCAGTATTTTCTTTAAATCAGATGTCTAAATTAATACAATATTTTATTGTCCCAAACCATTAGGTTATTTTAAAAGCAAAATTTCTGTGCAATACTCAATATACACACAAATGATATCCAGGATCCAATCTGCGCGGGCTACCAAGACCAGAGGTTTGTCTTCTGAGCTTTTGAACTGTCACAGAGAACTTCCCTGAGGTTGGGCTCCAGCACAAGTCAGAAGACAAAACTTCTGGTCCTGATGAACGACTCAGATTAGATCCTGCAACACTATCCTGGGAAACTGATGACTCCCCCAGATACCCCACTAGAGGTCAGCTTGGGGGAAGATGAACCAGTTCCTGGCACGGTAGGAGCTGAGTTGATTGATGGCTCCGAGCTGCTGTCTGTGAGGGATTTGGCTGAAGCACAGCTGCAACAGAACAATCCTGAGACGCCAGGTGGGGAAAGCATGCAGCTGCAGCTAGTCAATGATGAGGAAGAGGAACTGCCTTCTGCACCTGATCCAATAACACATAAGACAGAGAAAAGGCAGGAGCAGAGGTCAGGCAGATGCACTGCACCGAAAGTTGGCTATTTAGCACAGCAGACAGATGAAGGCGCTGCTGGGAACGTGTTTGTTTCCTAGCTGTGTGTTTTCTGGTTGTTGTGATTCCTGCCTTGGTTTGATACTGTGCCTTGACTTGGATCATGCCTTGGAAACTCTGGACTTTTCTTGCCTTGTGACCTCTCGTGTTGTGGATTTAAATTTGCCTGGTGGCTTTATTTTGATTGAGAAACTTTCAAGTGCCTTGTAGACTCTTTTGACCATTGCTCCATGGACTAGCATTGGTCTGCTTGTGGATGGACTTAATTGGGACAGTTCTGGGTTTTTGATGAAGAGAATTGGTGGGGAATGTTAATAAACTCACTAAACCAGTTATGTGTGTGTGTGAGTGAGTGGGTGGGACAGCACAGCACATATTTGCCTTCATTCATGATAAATGATATCCTCCTAGGCAATTTCCAAATCACTTAAAAATACAAATACAGAAGTCATTAAATCTGATGCTATTTTCCATATATTAAGAACTAGTGAAGTATATGTCAGTAGAGTTCAAGAAACTATTTATAAATGGTCTCTAGGATCAATCCTGTAGGGATAGTTTACAAACAGACTTTAGATCAGTCTGAGTTTCCACCATGAGGCCAAAAGCTTGGAAAATTGTATCTCTGGTCCCAATGACTGACCCAGATTGGCTCCTGCAACATTACCCTGGGGCATGTATATTTGCCTTCATGTCAGTCTCATATATTTCATTGCTGGGTTGAGAACTTCAGCAATATGACTTTTTCAATGACCCCTCACATAATAAGGTGGCAAATACTCCATGAATTATTGATCTTTCTATTGCTTTCTGATTTTCAGACAGACATCTATACTTTGTGTGGTACATAAGCTTTCTTTTGCAATTTTGTGACTAATAAAATGCTCGCAGAACTGATTTTTCTTTTACCATACACATAACTTCAAAGTTCTAAGTTTCCTGCCATTCTATGAAGAAACAGCAAGAAAGCAAGAAATAAATATTGCTTCTTTTTGTCAGACTTATTGCAAGTGATGCAGCTTAGTGAAGTAGTTTCTAAACTGGGTAATCGTACCTTGCCAACTTTTTTTTTTTTTATGATGAATAGAATCACTTCCTTTCCTTTTGAGATATTTTACATATAAAATTAACATGGATCTGCCTTCCAGAAGTACCTGAATTGTGTAAGTGGCTAAAAATATTGTACAGTGATATTTCGTCTCATGAGACCCAAGAGTTGGTAAGATATTTTGGATAAATTTCCAGAATTACAGAGTTGGTGATGCTGGTTAAAGTTTAAATTTCAAACAGATTGAAAACATCGGCTTACCTGATTTCTATAGAGCACAAAAGAAAAGGGAGACAAGATTTTGGTTTTAAGGCATTGTATATACAGAATATGTTAGATATTCTTTGGAAAGATGTGTAACTTAAAAGATAGGATATAAGTTATAAAATAAGACATGGTCTTGGCCAGCAAATGTCGAGGATGGAGCACTCATGTGAAATGTCTGCTTTTGTTTGCTGTACCTTCAGTAGAGTCCAGTACTCATCCTCATAGGAGAGAAGGGATAACCACAGCTCTGAAGACTTTCAGCGTTCTGGAGAGATGGATATTGTGTTGATGGAGCACCCTAGTGCTTGCCTTGCCCTGCTGATCTGACTTCAATGTCCAAAGAACCTTCACTTGAGATGCATCTTCCAAACTATATTTGAAGCTGTTTACATTTGTCAGCTAGGTGCTATCAACAGTGGTTCTATGGTCTTGGGATTTGGCATAGGCTGATGAGTATTTCAGTCTTTCTCAGGGTGATAATTAGGCCAAAACAGCATCTGAGAATTTGTTCAGGATCACTGTCCTTATGTCCCAGGAGTGCACAGTCATCAGTAAAGAGGGTTCCTTGAATGACTCTACAGAGTCACTGTTTGCATTCAAATTGCCAAAGAGGGAGCTTTGCAATTGGTACCTGATGTACACATATTCCTTCCTTCAGACCCTGGACAACATCAAATGAAGAAGAGATTGAGTAGGACTGGGACTAACACACAACCTTGTTTATTCCACTAGAAATGGCAAATGGAGCCCATGTATCACCATTGTAAAGGAGCCCCCTCCCAACACACACACAAATTTCTTAGCATTCATAATGGTTTTTAGGTCTATATTTGAAGAAGAGTAAAGCATCAAATATATTTTAAAAGAATCAATATTGTTAAATTGCATTTAATAACTGTATTTAATTAGAGCTATGGTTCCTGGACTACAAACACTAATTACTACCATCTACCGGTAGTATCTGGATTTTTATAACTCTAATTTAATGAGAAAGGTACAAACAAGACAGCTTGTAAATTAACGGGACCTTTTACTAATATATTAATTCTTGTGACTACACACATGGGTGCCAAATGAAAACACAACAGTAATTTATAGATCATTGATTTGACTGTTATCTGGCTAGAGCTGAATGACACGTTAGCACTTTGCAGACTAGAACTAATGATAGCATTATCTATTGTTTTAAAAATGGACCTGTTTATTTTTTTAGCTTCTTCTGAGCCGCTTTCTTTTTGACCATCTGTAACCTCTTCATAGCATTGAGCTGAGATTCTTGTGACGTTGGACCTTTCAGCGATGGGGACTGGTTGCCCGATTCTGTACTTGATTTGCTAGCGCTGCTCCCTGCTGCCACGCTGCTGCCATTTCCACCAATAGTTGGGCTGTTGCCTGGGGTTGAACTGCCTGCATTAGGAAGGCCTATTTTGCTTACGTTGTCACTGCTCACAGACCGAGAGAGACCAACTTTCCCCAATGTCAGAGGTGGTAATGGCTTCAACTGGCTAGGGTTTGTGCTACTGGCAGCTGTTATTTTTGACCCTACTCCTTTGGTTGTGGCCAGGCCTGACAAACCAGTGGGTTTCTGATTGTTTGAACCAGTGACGGGCTTGCCACTGGTACTCTGGGTGGCAGACCCCATCTTAGTTGTTGACGGGCCTGCAGAAGATGTCTTTGCTGCAAAAGCTGCCCATCCCGTAAGGCCACTGTTTGAGGAGGAGGAAACACTGGCGGCGGTTGAGTTCCCTGACATTGTTGCCGAAGTCTAAAATCAGACAGAAACAAGTGTTACCTTACATGCAATTCAGCAGAGATCAGCATGCAAAGCAAAAGGACCAAGCAGTTACCTTCCTATCATTATTCGATGAAAAACTCAGTGGACTCTAATATTTATTCAAAGTCTCAGAATACAAAAAGAAGCACATTAATCTCTTTATAATGTTCCAGGCCAATCATAACCATAGCATCAACTTTTTTCTTGTAGGTACAAAATACAGTAGCTCAATATTCCATCCTCATAAGGCAAAAATCTCAGAATTATTCAAGTAAGAAAACTTGCTGGATCCATACCTATGTTTTTTTTTAAATCAAAAATTACTTTTAACATGAAAATAAATGATGGATCTCAGGACTATAATTTGTAGTTATTGGGACAAAATTAGGCATTTAAATGTAATAGGGCACATTAATAGTAGATGTGTAAGTTACCATAGTACAGTGATGGCTAACCTTTTTGCCATTACGTGCCAAAAGTGGGGGGAGCGTGGGGGGAGAGCGTGCATGCATGCCCACACCCATAATTCTATGCACCCCCCACGCATGCGTGCATGACCTCCCCCACGCTCCCCACGCTTTTGGCACACGATGGCATGGTGGGCCCGGTAGGCCCATTTTTTGCTCTCCGCAGGCTCCAGCGCCTTTCTAGGAGTCAGGGGAAGGCAAAAACGGCCTCCCCCCTGCCCCGGAGACCCTCCAGAAGCCAGAAATGGTCCTTTGGTGACTTCCACTGGGCCTAGAAGGCCTGAAAATCAGCTGTCTGGCACATGCATGCGCACCAGAGCTGACCTCGCATGCCCATCAATATGGCTCCGTGTGCCACCTGTGGCATGCGTGCCATAGGTTTGCCATCAAGGACATAGTACATAGTACATGTATAGGTTTCCATCACAGTTATTTGCAATTGTTTGACACAGTAAACCACAAATGGTGCTGTACAAGTCTCACTAAAATTGTTAGGATTGCATGAAGTGTTTTCTAAATGGCACAAGATGAAAAATGGATTGCGCTTTTTGATTCTGATGAGAAGGGCAGAATCCTGCCAAACTGATTCAGAATTTTCTTATCTATTACAAATATAAAAGAACTTATATAAAATTCAACCATGTGTCCTGCATATTAATTGGTTTAAAATACTATCATTTTTTTAAAAACCTAAAGTAACACACATTAATTTTGGTTCTGCATTTTTTGCGGCTGGTAGTCAAGGCCAGTGATATTTCTAAACTTTTAAGAAACTTAACTACCATGGCCCTGGAATTTGTCTAGAATCTTCCTAAATTGCAATAGCAGAAGCAAATACAGGTACTCCTTGACTTACAACCACAATTAGGAGTGGAATTTGATGCAGTCTTTAACTGAGTCATTGCAACTGGATCTGATTTTACTATTTTATCGTTGTTGTTAAGAGAATCACGTGGTTATTAAGTGAATTGTGGTTATTAAACAAATCCAGCTTCTCCATTTGACTTTGCTTGTCTGATGAGGGTGGTGCAATGGTTGTAATTTTGAGGATAGGTTGTCATAATTTCAAACCGTCATTAAATGGTCATAAGTCAAGAACTACCTGTAACTTTAGCACAAATGTTATTGGTTATTTCCTTTTGTAATCTTTGCTTTCCTTTCATACTGCACTAAAAGAGAAACATAACATTTTAACATTTTTATTGTTAAAACCTATTTTACTTTATACAACTTTTAGGTGTAAAAATGTGATTTTCCCCATAAATAAACTTCCTACTACAGTCTTTAATCTGAATGCAAAGAAAGAACAATTAGAAATTTACAGAGATAACACTACTATTATATCCTATCTAAATCTAGAAATAAATATAGATATATCTGAAAATAACCTGTAGCATCCTGTTTTTAAAACAAAATCTTATTAAATGTAATTTTATTGATAATGTTACTTAAATTATGTAATTTATTCAAAATCAGTAACAAAATGGAAAAAAATTAAAAATAAAAATATTTAACGTGGAATTCGAAGTGAAAGTGGAGGATGATATTATGAGGTTAGGAACATTACCAAAACAAAACACTCCTCATTAGAAAAACAAAACAAAATTAAACTAAAAACAAAGCTATAAATTCAATCAATCTATCAATATTTCACAGTACACTCTGCACAGTACCTTGACCTCAGTCCTCTTAAATGCTAGGAAGGCTGGGGTAGTCTCCAATTTTAGCTTAATTTCTGGTTTCTTTATTAGTGGATCTTTCACAGCTGGAACTACTGACACTACAGCAGGAGCTGGCTTCTGGGAAGGCTTCTGTGTTTTCTGAGCCTGTGTAAATTACATATTGTACATATGAAAAAATGTTAAAATAAAAAATAGCTTTCTGCTTTAACACTACTATCTACTAGACATTCTGGAAAGTAACATTGGGAAATCACAATAAAGGAATTTAAGAGGTTTGCAGGAGATCTTATAGAACAGCCTAATGTATTACTACTATAATTTTTTTTCTTCTGAGAATTTCCCCCAAAGTGCAACGTCCATTATTTTTTTTGTATCAAGTGTTGATCCATTTGTTGTGACAGGAATTGACCAGTCAGCTTGTTGCCCAAGTCTGATGTAGGCAAAGAAAGAATGACTGGCCCAAAGTCATCCAGCCAGCATTCAAGTGGGACTAGAAATCTAGCCTAATGCGTTAACCACTAGAACAAACTGGCGCTTGTATTACTATAAAAACTATTACAATATTTATTCATCAACATGTTTCATTTGTTTCATACAACTAGGCAGCTGCTAATTTATATATCTAATGTACATATTTGAATTTACATATATGGAAATAA